GTTTATCAAGCGAATGTATTATCCTAATCGATCAATTCAGAGCAATCGCTAATCGCCACTCCTATGAATCATGGATTGAACTAAAACATACCGTACCGATTGAAACGGTCGCCGTTGTTCATCCCGCTATTGCACCGGAAACAAACTTGAAGACGAAAGAAAACCTTGCCTGATGGAAATGGAAATGGAAATGCAACCCTCCGAGAGCACCACCAAACTTCTGAAACCTCCTTTCATGTATATCACACTTGTCAATTGCCAGAGCAGAGTATATATACATAATAACCGTATATCTTGTGGCCGTTGCAAGAAAATCAATTAGATCAAAACTTGCCTTATATAATAAAAACTTACCTTGTATAATTAACTCATCAATTAGCCGTTAGAAAATTAAATATTAAAATAAACAAATAAATTGGACGCCAGCCAAAAGCTAATTAATCATTATGATATTTTAATATATAAATAATAATAATTAACGGTAGCTAATACACATTAATATTAATAAAAAATAAATGAAAAAAAATCAACCGAAACACAACTAACAAATAACACAAGAAAAGGATTTTTTTTTTTTTTTTTTAGTTTATTTAATACTCCGTTATATATAATATATATTAATATTATTTTTAAATATTAAAACATAGCCAAATAAGTCAACTGTCGATAAGTGACATAGAAAAAATGGACAAATGAAATAGGACAAATGGGTATTATTTACATAGATTTTTATAAAAAATATCTTTTTAAATTATTTCATAAAACAAATAATATTTGTAATTTAAATTACGATATATTATTAAATTATTAAAAATAATAATATTATTAAGATTAATAAAAATAAATAATTATTAATAAATTAGAAAAGTAATAATATAATATTATTTTTTATATTTATATTTTAAATTTTGTATTTTTTATTATGTAATTATATTTAATTTATACTTCCTCCGTCCACACACAAAGTAAACATTTACTTTTGGCGGGTAGTTAAAAGTAGTTTAATGATATTTTTGTCCTAACTTTTGGTGTAAAAGTAATGATGTGATGTAAAGTAAGGATATTTGTCGAAAAAAGTGAGATATTTAATGAAATGTTTACTTTGTAATGTATACTTTCTAGCTGGACGGATGAAGTATTATTTTATTACCTAACACATTAATGTTTTTATAATTTATTTTAATTTAAAATTTAAATTTAGTGAAGCTAACAAATAAAAAATAAAATAAAATATTAAAAATGAATGCTCAAATCAAAATCAGCAAATTTTAAACATAAATATTTTAGATCATAACTAAAATCATCATTCAAAATATTTAATTTCAATATGATATTTTGACAAATCGAAACTCATAACTTATTCAAAGAATAGCATAACTTATTACACGTGTCATGCATTTCCAGAAAGCTCTACCTGTGATTCCAAGGAAGGGAGACTCACACACTAATCACTTAAAGACTTTTTCCTATTAACAACTATTTAGACACAAAACAATGTGTTTTGTAAAAAAAGATATAAATTACTCGATAGCATAATCAATCAAATAAGTTCATCTTATTTGTAATCATAAAATTAATGTAATAGAGTGAAAAAATCGCTTCAAAATAATTTATAAGAAAATAATTCGTCTGTATTCAACAAAATTACATAATGGAGATATTTAAATTAACACTAACCTAATTCTACAAAAATAACTAAAAAATTAATAATAAGAAAAAAAAAATAGTGAAATTAAAATACAACCAATAAAAAAAATTTATATAATCTAAAGTCCTAGTCTAATAAATGATTTCAGTTTGAAATTTATATTGAATCATTTATTTAATTAAAAATAATTATCATGATTGATAAATTGGTTATAACTATCAACAAGTTTAACATTTATTTTATTTTTTTTTTGTTGTTGTTTTGATAATCAATGTACGTCCCTTAATTGCCTGAACTAGTATAATTTTAGAAATTTAATTATCTAATTGCATTAGAATTTAAAAAATTTAATTCAAATTACTAATAGTTATTCACAGTTAAAATTCAATTTGCATAATTATTTACTAGAAGTAATTACTCAATCTGTGGGACACCTATATTCGAATTGACATCAAACTACTTTTGAGTTTTGTATACAAAAATTTATTTATTTTTCTTTATATATAAATTAATGTAATAGTATTAATAAAAATAAATAATTTTAAAATATTTACAATATAGAATGGAATTGATATTTAATAAAAATAAATAAATTATATTGAATTTGTTTACTCAATATTTTTAGATGAATTGACTTTTTTATGTGCGGTATAAAAAACTGTGTTGGTAATATAAAAAATAATAATTTGTATTGAATGATTGACTTTTTATGAGTGAATAATGTATATATTATATTATTGTGTGTATATTTATATTTTTTAATAATATTCATGAAAAATTGTTTCATTGAGAAATGACGAGTGAACACGTTAATTATTATTACTCCTTTCATCTCTTAACAATCTTTCATTTTTTTATTTTGGTCAGTTCTATAATAAAATATCAATTTTTTTTTAGTAATTGTACTATATACTCATAAAGTAGAATTAAAGGTAAAAAAACTAAATTAACCCTATTAGTATTGTATGATATAAAGGTAATGACATTTGTGTAATATATTATAAGTTAGAAGGGTATTTGTAATGTTAGGTTGATAGTACAATTACTAAAAAAATAAAACAAATACTTTGTTATGGGACGAACCAAAATGAAAAAATGGATAGATTGTTAAGGGACGGAGGGAGTATATCTAACATTACAAATACCTTTTTAATTTTAATATATTACACAAATGTCATTATTTTTATATTATACAATAACTTTTTTTTATTTCTATTTCTACTATATCTCAATATAATATTAATATTTTTAAATTTTCTTGCAAAAAACAAACAAATACATAGATATGAGACAAAAAGAATATTATTATTTTCCTTAAATTTATGTCTAATCTACTTATAGTTAAAACAATTTTATTCACCTCAAATTTCATTGTATCTACTTAAAGAAATAATAATAAAATTGACATTATTTCTACTTACTATTTATTCTCACTTTTTTTTTTTATTAAATTTTTTCAATAAAAATTTTATAATATCCCCACTCTAATTCAACATTAAATAATACTTTTATTAATTTCTCAGTCTACTACTTATCAAAAAAAAAAAAATTACATAATTTTCCTAACCGATTGTAATACATTTCAAACTATTTAGAGTGTAATTTTTCTTCAAAAAGTATATGAGATAGGAAAAATTGAACATAATGAAACGACAATAAAACAGAAATGGGAGATAAAATGAAATAATATTATGAACAATCGATATGAGAAGAATTGAAATGATAATATATGAATAAAAAAAAAAAAGTGAAACAGAAGAAATGTTCATAATAAAAATATGTCCATTTGACGAGTTCAACATTAAGAAAAATAAATAAAAACAACTTTTTGCTAAAAAATAAGAATAAATCTAAATGACAACACAAAATAAATAAATTTAAAGTGACGGAGAAAATAATATTTTACTAATAAGTGAGTATATAATAATTTAGATACTTTTATCCTTGCAATTAAAATTAAAAAAAGGGATAATTTTTTATAAAATTAGAGATTTTGAATTTTTTTTATATAAAACTTGTATAAAAAATAAAATATTTTTTAGTAAAACAAATAAAAATAGCAAAAAAACATTAAATTTGAACTTGGAGGTAATATATTTATTTGTGAAAAATGAACATTTAATGTCATATTTTTCTAAAATAAAAATTTTAAAAGTTAGAAGATAAAAAAAAAAAAGAAAACTCAATTCATTAAATAATTATCTAAAACCATAAATTAGATATAAAAATATCCAATAAAATCCTAAATATGTAAATAGAGTGTTCTAGATTCCATAAAACTATATCCCCATGTCTATATATATAGTGCTCATCTATCTCAATGTGGGAGAAAGATATTGAATTTGAGGATTACCATCTCTTTACTAGCTAGTCCGGAGAGATTGTATTTTTTTTATTATTATTATTTTCTATATGTATTTTTAGGATAGATATAAAAATTTATATTGATAATATAAAAATAATAATAATATTAAATTTTTAGTTTTTTATGAATAAAAAAATAAATATACCGATTGTATTAATTTTATATAATATTTAAAAAAAATTGTGTCATATAAAATCACAAAGTAAACAAATCTATATTTTATGTCTAATAGTTTTGTGAAAGAACATACCCCAAAACAAAATCAATAACTATAACCCTAAACAAATACAAAACCAGAACATAACTAAAACGAAAAACAGTAACAAAAACCAAAAGCAAACAAGTAACAAAAATAGCAAAAACAATAAATAAAAAAACACAAGAATCAAAACAGAAACGCAAACCAAAATCAAAAACAAAAAACTCAAACCAAAATCCAAAAACCAAGAAAACCACCACCAAAAACAAAATCAAAACCAAAAATAAACAACAAACTAAAACCATAACAAAAAAAGAAAAAATCAAACTAATAATAAAACAAAAATAAAAAATAATAACAAAATCAAAACCAGCACCAAAACCAAAGCCAAAAAGCGCAAAAAAAAAAAAAAAAAAAAAAAATTACAAAACAAAGCCAAAGCAAAACAAAAAAAAAAAAAAAAAAAACAAGAAGAAAAATAAAAACCACCAATAACAGAACCAAAAACCAAAAGAGAGATTACAAAATGTAATTTAAACACACACATAATAATAATAATGACATCAACTGATAATGTATTCATAGGCTATGCAGAAACGAATCATCTACATACATAGATAAGAACTATTTCACACAAATACTATATCACAATAAAATCAACACATAATGGAAACATACATACATGAGATTAGCTAATCAATCACATACATAAACAACACAAAAACTAATCATATACCTATATAGATAAATACACACACATGCATAGATACATAAGCCAGTCAGTCACATGAACAATACAAAAACCAATCACATACGTATGAATAAATACATACATTCACACATGCATACATAAGACAAACGTATTAAAAGCAATTTCTTTCATGCAAGACAGGTACATGCAAAGTAAATTCAAAACTTATATATATATCTTAGTAAATTAATTAGAATCAACAGTATGAAAGCATTATGATATTAATCATGTATGCACTTACCGTGCAAAAATAATGGAAAGACAACACCAAAACAAATCATTTATATGCATATAGGGATATATGCATATAACAAGATTTGCTCATGAAATCCCTGCACAACAATCAATAATAGTGAGAAAACAAATTGAAAAGACAACCAAACATGCATGGTTGGGAAAAGTAGAAAACCTGTAATACTTTTGAAGTTGAAGTTACAAAACCCATTTCTCACAGCAGTACAGCACTATGTCGTATTGCTTCCAAAGCAGGAACTGTTGAAATGGCAGAATCTTTCGTCATTAGAACACTGTAGACAAGGTTGCAGTTAAAATTAGTTTAATATTTATTTACAGTAAATAAAAAAATTTGCAAAAATCTGTTTATTTTGCAGAAGAAGAAGATACAAAATGGTTAGCATCCATCTTCCAAAAAACAAACAAAATCAGAGAGGGAGTATCAGCAATATTTGGTAATCATAGGCAAATTGAATCTGCAACAACTTGACGACAAAAAAAAAGATAATCAGTAAAAGCAATATTAATGCCATAGATTATTGCTGTAAAATTAAGGTTTCAAAAGTACTATTAGCTTGCTCCCAGTTGGCACCAAAAGTTTAAATATCAAGAATGGGTACTATTAGCTTGCTCCCAGTTGGCACCAAAAGTTTAAATATCAAGAATGGGTACTATTAGCTTGCTCCCAGTTGGCACCAAAAGTTTAAATATCAAGAATGGGTACTATTAGCTTGCTCCCAGTTGGCACCAAAAGTTTAAATACCAAGAATGGCCCAACTTTCTCCTCTCAAATAGATATACGGAACAGAGCATTATGAAAGAAAGACATAGAAACATTAGGCTTTCAAGTTTTATAGTATCACAAATCTTCCTGCCCAAATATCAACTAAACAAAGCAAAGCATTAATGTTTTTAGCACAAGTTGTAAGTTGGTTGCTAACAAGAAGTTATATTAATCCAATGTACAAAAAAAATATATAGTATTTTATCTAATCTTTTATTAAGCTTGATGAAAATTTAGAATATGTACACTCGTCACTCAATAAATTGAAATGAATTGAATGACAATGCACTAATCGGCCACGCCATGGCTGCAAGATCTCATGTTGCAAATCATATGACATGCCTTCATGATTGCCTCGCCAAGATACGGACCGATTGCTAATTGAAATGCATTGAATGACAACACACCAATCGGTCACACCATGGCTGCAAGATCTCATGTTGCACATCATATGGCATGCCTTCATGATTACCCCGCCAAGATACGGGCCGATTTTCTTATGATGGTCAACTCAAATCTTTTCATGCCTCATCATTTAGCTCAGATTGTAAGGCAAATAATAGCAATATAACTTGATTATTTGATTGAAAAATAGGTCAAGAGAGCTTGAAAACATTATTTGGAAAGTGAACCAAGTTGAAAGATATAGTCTCTCGCATGTAGATAGAAATTTCATGAAAACCAATTTAGTTTAGGTTTATACAATTTTATTTATTTTTTAATCAATCACAAACACAGAACAATGAACAGTGAGTATTTGAACTAAAAAGAACAAACTAGAAAATTAAACAATGTAATCGACAGGAGTGGAGCCAAACCAAAATAGGAACATGAACCCGGCCTAAACCTGTCAAAGAACAACCTGAGTTAGAGCCAGACAAGATCAAAACCTAAACCAAACAAGAACCACACCAAAAATGCAAGACTAGAAGAACCATAATATGAACAAGACTCCAACCCAATCAAACAAGAGCTAGAGCTGGAACAGAAGTCAAACCCGACCCAGAACCACCTGTGCTAGAGCTAGACTCAGGCACCGGCCCAAACAAAAACTGCACAAGAGCAAAGATGGACACGAACTAGAACTAGAACTAAAACATGAAGAAGAGCTAGATCTAGATCTTGGCTAGATTTTTTAAGCCAAAATCAAAGGTGAGGATTGGACCAGATTATACAGAGTTAGAGTCCGGGATTTGACTCAGAACCACCTAACCCCAAGGCAGAGTTAGAGAACCAAAACCAAAACACAAACAAGACTCAATCCATGCCCAAGCTAGAGCAGACTAGATTCAAATCTAACCCAGAATCACCTGAGCCAAAGTTGAACCTGAACCAGGACCATGCTAGAGTAGGAACTAACTTGAACCTGACCCAGAATCACCCAAGCCATGGCCAAAGCCAGAACCAAACACGAACTAGAACCTGATCCATACAAGGACTGCACCAAAGCTAGAGCTGCAACTAACTTGAACCTGACTTGGAATCACCCGAGCCATAGCCAAAGCCAGAACCAAACACGAACTAGAACCTGATCCATACAAGGACTGCACCAAAGCTAGAGCTGCAACTAACTTGAACCTGACTCGGAATCACCCGAGCCATAGCCAAAGCCAGAACCAAACACGAAGTAGAACTCAACCTCACCAATGCTAGAGCTGAACCAGATCCAAGCACAAGTTAGAGCCGGAACTAAACCCAAACCAACTCAGAATCACCTAGTTAGAGTGACACCTAGAAACCAAAACAAGAACTAGACCATCAATAGACACAGCCAGACTCAAACAAAAACGCGAACCAAACCATCAATAATTTGATGATAAAAAAGAAACGAGTGAGAGAAGGATTTTTCGAGACAACGAAATTTTATTCCTCCTCCTAAACCCAAATTCCTAAATTCCTCAAACCCCTAAATTTTCATGAAAACATCCCCGTATATCGAAGGAAAAAATCGAAGTGAAGCACCAAATCAAGCTTATGTGTATACTGTTCCTCTACAGTGTGAAATTGAAAATCTGTAAACAGTCAAGTCAATCAAAGCGAATATCCTATCCTATATAAACGTCTACTACCTGTGGATTGGTACTCTCGATTAGCATTCGCAAATCACAACTCTCGAATCAAATCTTGATTCAAGAAAACTGCAGATCCATGGGCATGGTCGTCCGCAGCATTGCTATTCCCCTTCCCCATCTGATCCACTATTGCACCATAACCTTCTTCAAAAGAACCCTAAACCCTCGTGGAGGAGAAATGAAACAGGCGCCTACGGTAGTCTGCAGTGCAAGGATGGGACGTCGAGAATGAGATTATTATTATTATATATAATTATTATTAGGAAATAGTGGAACGGTAAGAAATTTCTTATTTAATTATCAAAGATTTTGTAAAAAAGCCCCGAACCAAAAATAAAGTAAAATAGCATGTTTTAATTTCTATTGCTGAAAAGATCAAAACGAACCCTATATTTTCTACCGTATAGCGAAGGAGGAGGAAAGCAAATTGAAGATTCAAATCACAACTTAAAAGTATATGAACAACTCGAAATTGAAAATCTGTAAGTTGTTTATCAAAAGCGAATGTATCGAAGCAATCGCAAATCGCCACTCCTAATGAGAATCGATTGAAATGGTCGCCGTTGTTCATCCCGCTATTGCACCGGAAACAAACTTGAAGACGAAAGAAACCCTTACCTGATGGCAATGGAAATGGAAATGCAGTCCTCCCCAGAGCACCACCAAACTTCTGGAACCTCTTTTCATGTATATCACACTTCCCAATTCCCAATTGCCAGAGCAGAGTATATATACATAATAATTTATTATTCTTTTTTTTATCCGAAGAAAAAATAAAAATAAAAATAAAAATAAAATAAACCCTTACCTTGTACATAATTGTATATATCTTGTGGCCGTTACAATAGAATCAATTAACGCATGTCGTCGATCAAAACTTACCTTATATAATTAACTTTATCAATTAGCCGTTAGAAAATTAGGATATTTTAATATATAAGTAATAATGCTAATTAACGGTAGCTAATACACATTAATATTGATAATAAAAAGTAAATGAAGAAAAAAAAAAAAAACAATCAACCAAAACACACAACTGACAAATGACACAGGAAAAAACAGAAAATTTTGTTTTTTTTTCCTCATATACTGTGCAAATATCAAAATATTAATTATAAAATATTTTACCAATTATTTTTATTTAATACTCCATTATATAAAATATATATTAATAGTATTTTTAAATATTAAAACATAGCCAAACAAATCTACCGTGAAACAAGTGTCTGTTAAAATGTTGTTAAGATTTAATTTTTTTTTTTTCACAGAAGAGAAAAGGATTCGTGTATCGTGACTACTTGTCCATCAATTTTTAAACCGTTTGTCGATTTTCGAAAATCGTCAATTATTGTTCAAACCAAACTAAAATCGTTATTTCAACGATTATGTTTAGATTTGAATATTTTGCAAGAATTGAGGAGGAAAAATATATATATATATATATATATACATTTTTATGGCTACTGTAGAATGTTAAATATGAATGTGTACTGATTATTGCAAAATATTATTTATAAAATAATATGAGTGTGTCGTTTTTGTTTTTAAATATACTCATATATATATTCAAAAAAAATTAATATATAATATATACTTTCTTTTAATTTATTTTTATTTTTTTTAATTCATCTATTAAATTTATTTTATTATTATATTTAAAAATTTAAAAAATTAATATTTAATTATTACATTTATTTAATATTTATTTATTACAAATACTATTAGTTTTATTATATATATATTTTTTGTATTCTCTTTATTTTTAAAAATAGTTTCAACAAATCTTTTACTTTTTCTATATTTTTAATAAAATATTTATTTTTTTAGTCTAGTACCAAATTCAAATGGATTAAATATAGCAGAGGGAGTATTTATTATTTTTATAATCTCTCCATCCCACTTAAATTATCAATTTTTGCTTAGTTACGAAATTTAAATATTGGATAGTTAGTAAATAATTAAAAAATATATTAGTAAAAATAATTATGATTTAATAAAAAAATTATAGATTAAAATTAAGACGACTAAATACTTTAATTAAAATATTTTTTTATAAATTATAAATTTTAAAATGTGATTAAAATGTATAATTATATTTAAAAAAATAAAAGACAAATTATATAAAACGGGTAAAAATATAAAAAATAATAAATTAAATAGAACGAAGAGAGTATTATTTACATGAATCTTTATATTTTATATAAAAAAATACTATCTTTTTAAACTATTTCATAAAACAAACAATATTTGTAATTTAAATTAGGATATATTATTAATATTATAACAATAATAATATTAATATTAATAAAAATAAATAATTATTAATAATTTAGCAAAATAATAATATAATATTATTTTTATATTTATATTTTAAATTTTGTAATTTTTATTATATAACTATATTTAATTTATATTATTTTATTATCTAATACATTAATGTTTTATAATTTGTTTTAATTTTAAATTTAAATTTAGTGAAACTAAATAAAATAAAATATTAAAAATAAATGTTCAAATCAAAATCAACAAATTTTAAACATAAACAGTTTATATCATAACTAAAATCGTTATTTACGATATTTAATTTTAATAAGATATTTTGACAAATCGAAACTCAAAACATATCCAAAGAGTAACACAACTTATTACACATGTCATACCTTTCCCCGGGAGCTCTACCTCTGTGATTCCGAGATAGAGAAACCCACACATTAATCACTTACGACCTTTTTCTTATTAACAACTATTTGGACACAGAGTAATGTATTTTGTAAAAAATGTATACTAATCGGTCGTATAATCAATCAAATAAATTCATCTTATTTGTAATTATAAAATTAATGTAATAGAGTGAAAGAAATCGCTTCAAAATAATTTATATGAAAATAATTCATTTGTGTTCAACAAAATTAAAGAATAAGGAGATTTAAATTAACACTAATCTAATCCTACAAAAATAACTAAAAAAATAATAATAAGAAGAAGAAATTAGTGAATTAAAATTATTTAATTCAAATAATTAAAAATAACTAAAAAAAATATCTAATTCAAATTACTAATATTTATTCGGGACAGTTAAAATTCAATTGCATAATTATTTACGAGAAGTAATTATTCAATCTGTGTGACACCTATATTCGAATTTACATCAAACTACATTTGAATTTTGTATATAATTTTTTTTTTCTTAATATATAAATGAATGTAATAGTATTAATAAAAATAAATAATTTTAAAATATTTACAATATAGAATGAAATTGATATTTAATAAAAATAAATAAATTATACTTCTATTATTACTATTTTTTTCATAAAAATAAATTAATTAAATATGTTTCGCTCAACATTGTTAGGTGAATTATTTTTTTTTACAAATTAATTTTTTATGTGTGATATAGAAAACTAATTGTATTAGTAATATAAAAAGTAATAATTTGTATCGAATAAAATTGACAAATAATTTGTATAGAAAATTGTGTTGGTATTATATTGATATTTTTATTATATATACTTTAATAAATAATAATAAAATTGACATTATTTCTACTTACTATTTATTCTCACTTTTTTTTTAATTAATTCTTTCAATATAATTTTTATAATATCCCCATTCTAATTCAACATTAAATATTACTATTATTAATTTCTTAGTCTACTACTTATCCAAAAAAATTGCATAATAAAAAGAATTACATAATTTTTCAAATGATCGTAATACATTTCAAATTATCTAGAGTGCAATTTTTCTTCAAAAAATATATGACATAGAAAAAGTTGGACGGAATGAAACGACAGCAGAGACAAAAAAAAAAAATAAAAAAATATGAGACTATTTGAAACGACAATAAACAAAAATGAGAGATGAATTGAAAAAATATTATGAACAAAAGATATGAAATGGATTTAAATAACCATATATGAACAAAAAAAAAAAAGTGAAACAAAAGTAATGTTTCCTCTGTCAATAAAAAAATATGTCTATTTGACCAAGTACTATTTTATAAAAAAATTAAATAAAAATAATATTTTTTTACAAAAAAAATGAGATGTTTGGCAAATAGGTCAAAAAATTAATTTAAGTGTTTGGTAAAATAATTTCTAAAAAGCTAACTTACCTAGCGTCTGTAAAAAAATTTTTATTCCTTATATGTCCATAAAAATTTATTATACATTTTACACATATAAATATATTTTGATTATTTATTAATTATATTAGAATATTTTATTATATTATAGTTTTACTTTTATAAATTTAAAATAATTAATTTTTATATAAAAATTATTTTAATTATAAAATATATAAATTTATTAAAATCAACATAAAAAAATATAAATATTAATAATTTATTTTTTTATTAAAATTATATTATATAAATTTTATACTAAAAATAAATTAAATAAATTAAATTTATTAAAAATTATAAATATAATAAACTAATTGATAACTAATATAATAAATATGTACACGAAAAAATTATTATTTTATATTTTACATCATTTCAATAAAAAAAACTATTTTTATATTTTAATAAAAATATATTATTTTTTAAATCTAACTGTAATAAAAATACTTTTATAATACTTTTACAATTTTCAATAACTAATAAAAAAATTTTAAACATTCTAAACTCAAAAGAACATAATTGAATATATTAGAAACAAGAATAAAATAGAAATGTCATCAATTGTCATTTTACGTATAAACAACTAATATCAAACAGTTGTTTTACCAAATATTTTAATACAAACACCTAATCAAATCAGCTAGTCAAACGGACTAATTGAATCAGCTAACAACTATCAGCTAATTGCCAAACACGCCATAAATCTAAATTGACAGCAAAATTGACAACAAAAAAATAAATAAATTTAAGATTACAAAGGAAATTGTATTTTCCTAATAAGTGAATGAATATAATAATTTTAATACTTTTATCCTTGTGATTTAAATAAAAAAGGGATAATTTTTATAAAATTAGAGATATTTTGAAATATATATATATATATGGTTATTTAAATAGTAAAACACATATTACATTTGAACGGAGGTAATATATATATTTGTGAAAAATGAACATTTAATGTCATGTTTTAATAAAATAAAATTTTTAAAAATTAGAATAAAAAAAAAAAACTCAATTCATTAAATAATTATCTTAAACCATAAATTAGATATAAAAATAAGGTAATATATTTATTTGTAAAAAATGAACATTTAATGTCATTTTTATAAAACAAAAATTATAAAAATTAGAATAAAAAAAAAAAAAAAAAACTCAACTCATTAAATAATTATCTTAAACCATAAATTAGATATAAAAATATCCAATAAAATCCTAAATACTAAAATAGAGTGTTCTAGATTCCATACAGCCATATCCCCATGTCTATGCAGTGCTCATCTATCTCAATGTCGGAGAAAGAAGGATTACTATCTCTTTACTAGCTAGTGCGGAGAGATTGTATTTATTATTATTATTATTATTATTATTATTATTATTTTATGTATTATTATGATAGATATAAAATTTTTTATTGATAATATGAAAATAATAATAATATTAAATTTTTAATTTTTTATGAATAAAAAATATATATATACCAATTGTATTAATATATATAATATATTTTATAACATTTACGAAAAATTCTGCCACATAAAAAGTGCATTTGTCAATTAGCGAATAGTTTTTGTTACTAATTCAATTAGCGGTTTGTATTTATACATAAAAATGACTATTAAGGACATTGATATGTTATTTTTTAAAATATTTAATTTTGTTATTTTGGTTTGAAATTTATGAGAATTTTTGTTATTAATTTATTGAAATTTATAAAAATATTATAAAATATTTATTTTTAATTTTATTATTTAGATCTGAGAAATTGTTTTTACTAAAAAAAATAATTTTTTATTGAAATTATGTAAAATATAAAATAATTTTTATTATGTTAATTATTGTTTTAATATATAAATAAATTAATAACTTTTGTTTTTTCTATTTGAGATAGTTTTAAAAATTTATATATTTTATAAATAAAATAATTTATATGTAATAATTAATAATAGTAATTATTTTAAATTTATAAAAATAAAAATATGATTTAATAAATTAAATATATTAAAAATAATTAATAAATACTGCTATAAAAATATATTTATATATATAAAATAAATAATTAAATTTTAAGAGTAAATTAGGAATAATCAAAATTAAAATAAAAAAACTCCTTCAAAAACTGTGCAGATGAGCTTTTCTTTTTGAGTTCAAAAAGCTCTTTTAAAAAACTAATTTATCAAAACACCTAAATTAACTTTTGACTTTCAATAAACTAAAAGCTCTTCAAAGAGTTGTGTATCCCAAACACCCTCAAAATAACAAAGTGAATAAATCTATATTTTGTGTCTGGTATTTTTGTGAAAGAACATACCCCAAAACAAAATCAATCCCTAAACAAATACAAAACTAGAACAAAAACAGTAACAAAAACCAAAAACAAACAAGTAACAAAAATAACAAAAACAATAAATACAAAAACACAAGACTCAAAACAGAAACGCAAACCAAAAACCAAATCCAAGAAAACCACCACCAAAAACAAAATGAAAACCAAAAATTCAAAACAATAACAAAAAAGAAAAACCCAAACAAATAACAAAACAAAAATAAAAATAAAAAACAATAACAAAATCAAAATAAAAACCAACACCAACACCATAAGGCGCAAAAAAGTAAATTACAAAACAAAACCAAGACCAAAATAAAAAAACACCAAAAACAAAACCAAACAAAAACCAATAACAAAACCATAAACCAAAAGAAAGATAACAAAATGTAATTTAGACACACATAATAATAATAATAATAATAATAATAATAATAATGATATCAACTAATCATGTATTCATACACTATGCAAAAACTAATCATCTACACACATACATAAGAACTATTTCACATAAAAACACTGTCAATCACAATAATGAAGCATAACATAGACGTGCATTCATATTATGATAAGATCAACTAAGATACATGCACACACAATACAAAAATAAGTCATTTGCAATGTATGTATATATATACACATAAGTTAAAGTGCACAATAAATAAAAGAAAAAAGAAAAAGAAAATCAATTGAATGCATCTTACTTGGGAACATTGTTATAAAAGCATTATAAAGACAGAGAAAAGAAAATTATGAAACAAAAAAATATACACGCATTAATAACAAAGTCAATTAATCATATACACACAAACAAGGCAAAGAAAGCATGAGAAACCAAAAATTGAAGGTGGGATAAGAAATATTACTCTTAAGGTCGAGGTCAAGGTGTATGCAAATGAGAGGATTAATTGAAGAATTAAAAATTAATGAGAATAATAATAAAAATAAAATTAAAAAAATTGCCCTCAAGGTCAGCTAAATTCACTGATTTGATCGGTGTGGTTCCCCAGAATCAGAATTCCATTTTCATTTGCTTCATCTCTTACCAATTCTTCACAAGTAGACGCAGAATTTTCCTTGGTTAACCAACCAACCTTACTGTTTTCAAAAATCTCATCAACATTAGTGAAATATTCAAATTTAGTAATGTTTTACCCACCCGGTTTCATACTCACCACCTTGCCAAATACACCCTCTCATCAACATTAGTAAAATATTCAAAATTAGTAATGTTTTACCCACCCAGATTCATACTCACTACCTTACCAAATACACCATGCCTAGAACAAGGACCACCAATAGCAGTCCACAACATCAACCTAAACGCAGAAAAACTCATTAATACTTGCACAGGCATTAATAATAATGAAAAAAACAAATTGAAATGACAACCAAACATGCTTGGAAATAAATAGAAAACATGTAATACTTACTGAAGTTGAAAGTTAGAGAGTGCGCTACTCCTCACAGAGTTGTGTCATATTACTGTAACCCCCCTTAGACATTACTAGCAAAAATTCAGTTCCTAATAAAAGAATATGTCATATCAGTGCAATATTCATTTAAAGCATAGAGAATAACTATAAGAATTAGTTTATTTTGTGGAACAACATAAAAATTGTTAGCATCAATCTTTAAGAAAGAGACAAATTTAAGGTGGGAAAAAGGAATAAATTACCAGCAAGATTTGGCAATCACGGTCAAAGAACATCAATTTGCTCGTGAAATCCCTGCACAACAATCAATATTAGTGAGAAAACAAATTGAAAAGACAACCAAACATGCATGGTTGGAAAAAATAAAGAACCTGTAATACTTTTGACGTTGAAGTTAGAAATCCCATTTCTCACAGCACACTGTCATATTGCTCCCAGAGCAGGAATTGTTGAAATGGCAGAATCTTTCGTCATTAGAACACTGTAGACAAGGTTGTAGTTAAAATCAGTTTAATATTCATTTACAGTATGAATAAAAAAAACTGCAAAAATTTGTTTATTTTTCAGAAGAAGATACAAAATGGTTAGCATCCATCTTCAAGAAAAACAAACAAAATCAGAGAGGGAGTATCAGCAATATTTGGTAATCATGGGCAATTGAATCTGCAACCACTTGACAGACGAGAAAGAAAAAAAAAGATAATCAGTAAAAGCAATATTAATGCCATAGATTATTGCTGTAAAATTAAGGTTTCAAAAGTACTATTAGCTTGCTCCCAATTGGCACCAAAAGTTTAAATACCAAGAATGGCCTAACTTTCTCCTCTCAAATAGATATATTGATCAGAGCAAGATCTCATGTTGCAAATCATATGACATGCCTTCATGATTGCCTCGCAAAGATACGGACCGATTGCTAATTCAAATGCATTGAATGACGACACACCAATCGGTCACACCATGGCTGCAAGATCTCATGTTGCACATCACATGGCATGGCTTTCATGATTTCCCCGCCAAGATACGGGCTGATTTTTTTATGATGGTCAACTCAAATCTTTTCGTGCTCATCATTTAGGTCAGATTGTAAGGAAAAATAGGCCAAGAGAGCTTGAAAGCATTATTTGGAAAGCAAACCAAGTTGAAAGATATAGTTGCATGTAGATAGAACTTTCATGAAAACCAATCTAGTTTAGGTTTATACAACTTTATTTTATTTTTAATCAATCACAAACACAGAACAATGAGCAGTATCTGAACTAAAAAGAACAAATTAGAAAATTAAACAATGTAATCGACAGGAGTGGAGCCAAACCAAATAGGAACATGAACCCTGCCTAAACTTGTCAAAGAACAACCTGAGTTAGAGCCAGACAAGATCAAAACCCAAACCAAACAAGAACCACACCGAAATTGCAAGACTAGAAGAACCATAATATGAACAAGACTCCAACCCAATCAAACAAGAGCTAGAGCCGGAACAGAACTCAAACCCGACCCAGAACCACCTGTGCTAGAGCTAGAGTCAGGCACCGGCCCAAACAAGAACTGCACAAGTGCAAACATGGACACGAACTAGAACGAACATGAAGAAGAGCTAGATCTAGATCTTGGCTGGATTTTAAGCCAAAATCAAAGCTGAGGACTGGACCAGATTATACAGAGTTAGAGACTGGGATTTGACTCAGAACCACCTAAGCCCAAGGCAGAGTTAGAGAACCAAAACCAAAACACGAACAAGACTCAATCCATGCCCAAGCTAGAGCAGACTAGATTCAAATCTAACCCAGAATCACCTGAGCCAAAGCTGAACCTGAACCAGGGCCATGCTAGAGTAGGAACTAACTTGAACCTGACCCAGAATTACCCAAGCCATGGCCAAAACCAGAACCAAACACGAACTAGAACCCAATCCATACAAGGACTGCACCAAAGCTAGAGCCAAACCAGATCAAAGCTCAAGCTAGAGCTGGAACTAACTTGAACCTGACTCGGAATCACCCGAGCCATAGCCAAGGCCAGAACCAAACACGAACTAGAACCCAATCCATACAAGAACTGCGCCAATGCTAGAGCTGAACCAGATCCAAGTACAAGTTAGAGCCGGAACTAAAATCCAAACACAACCCAAAATCCCCTAAGTTTAGAGCCGGAACTGAACCTGAACTTGAACCCAAACCCAACTCAGAATCACCTGAGCCAGGGTAAGAGTCATAACCGATCCCCAGCTAGAACTCCCGACAAGAGCTAGACCTAGAAACCAAAACATGAACTAGCCCGAGCTTGACTGAAGCCAAAACCAGAATCACCTAGGCAATAGCCACAGCCAAACTCAAACCATCAATAATTCGAAAAAAAAAAAAAAAAAAAAAAAAGAAAAAAGAAAGAAACGAGTGATAGAGGGATTTTTTTGAGACAATGAGCATTCAAGAAACATCTACCTGTGGATTGGTATTCTCGATTAGCATTCGCAAATCACAACTCTCGAATCAAACCCTTGATTCAAGAAACTTACACATCGATGGGCATGGTCGTCCGCAGCATTGCTATTCCCCCATCTGATCCACTATTCAAAAGAACCCTAAACCGTCGTGGAGGAGAAATGAGACATGCTCCTATGGTAGTCTGCACTGCAAAGATGGGACGGCAAGAATGAGATTATTATTAGAAAATAGTGTAACGGTAAGAGCTTTCTTATTGAATTACCATTTGGTATTTTGTAGTAATAGCCCCGAACCAAAAATAAAGTAAAATGGCATGTTTAAATTGGAAAGGAGAAATGGAATTCAAAACACTGAATATCTAATGCAATGCTGAAAGAAATGAGGACGAGAGACGGATTTAATTTTTTTTGAGAAAAACGAATTTCTATTGCCAAAAAAATCAAAACGCTATATTCCTCAAATCCTAAATTTTCTACCGTATACAGTAAGGAGGAGGAAAGCAAATTGAAGATTCAAATCACAACTTAAAAGTATATGAACAACTCTGAAACTGAAAATCTGTAACTTGTTTATCAAGCGAATGTATTATCCTAATCGATAAATTCAGAGCAATCGCTAATCGCCACTCCTATGAATCATGGATTGAACTAAAACATACCGTACCGATTGAAACGGTCGCCGTTGTTCATCCCGCTATTGCACCGGAAACAAACTTGAAGACGAAAGAAAACCTTGCCTGATGGAAATGGAAATGGAAATGGAAATGGAAATGCAGCCCTCCCGAGAGCACCAAACTTCTGGAACCTCCTTTCATGTATATCACACTTGTCAATTGCCAGAGCAGAGTATATATACATAATAACCGTATATCTTGTGGCCGTTGCAAGAAAATCAATTAGATCAAAACTTGCCTTATATAATAAAAACTTACCTTGTATAATTAACTCATCAATTAGCCGTTAGAAAATTAAATATTAAAATAAACAAATAAATTGGACGCCAGCCAAAAGCTAATTAATCATTATGATATTTTAATATATAAATAATAATAATTAACGGTAGCTAATACACATTAATATTAATAAAAAATAAATGAAAAAAAATCAACCGAAACACACAACTAACAAATAACACAAGAAAAGAAGGAAATGCTTTTTATTTTTTATTTAATACTCTGTTATATATAATATATATTAATATTATTTTTTTTATTATTTTTTTATTATTATTAAAAATAATAATAAAAATAATATTAAGATTAATAAAAATAAATAATTATTAATAAATTAGAAAAGTAATAATATAATATTATTTTTTATATTTATATTTTAAATTTTGTAATTTTTTATTATATAATTATATCTTATATTATTTTATTATCTAATACATTAATGTTTTTATAATTTATTTTAATTTAAAATTTAAATTTAGTGAAACTAAAAAGTAAAATATTAAAAATGAAATGTTCAAATCAAAATCAGCAAATTTTATACATAAATATTTAGATCATAACTAAAATCATCATTCAAAATATTTAATTTCAAATATGATATTTTGACAAATCGAAACTCATAACTTTTTTTAAAGAATAACATAACTTATTACACGCTGTCATACCTTTCCAGAAGGCTCTACCTGTGATTCCAAAGAAGAGAGACCCACACACTAATCACTTACGACTTTTTACTATTAACAACTATTTAGACACAAAGTAATGTGTTTTGTAAAAAAAATATAAATTACTCGGTAGCACAATCAATCAAATAAGTTCATCTTATTTGTAATTATAATATTAATGTAATAGAGTGAAAGAAATCGTTTCAAAATAATTTATAAGAAAATAATTCGTCGGTGTTCAACAAAATTACATAATGGGGAGATTTAAATTAACACTAACCTAATCCTACAAAAATAACTAAAAAATTAATAATAAAAAAAAGAAATTAGTGAAACTAAAATACAACCAATAAAAAAACTTATATAATCTAAAGTCCTAATTTAATAAATGATTTCAATCTAAAATTTATATTGAATTATTTATTTAATTAAAAATAATTATCATGATGATTGATAAATTAGTTATAAATCTATCAACAAGTTTAACATTTAATTTTTTTTTGTTGTTTTGATAATCAACCTACATCCGTTAATTGCCTTAACTAGTATTATCTTAGGAATTTAATTATCTAATTGCATTATGATTTAAAAAGATTTAATTCAAATTACTAATAGCTATTCAGAACAGTAATTACTCTACGTGTGACATTTATATTCGAATTCATATCAGACTACTTTTGAGTTTTGTATACAAATATTTATTTATTTTTCTTTATATATAAATTAATGTAATAGTATTAATAAAAATAAATAATTTAAAATATTTACAATATAGAATGGAATTGATATTTAATAAAAACAAATAAATTATACTTCTATTATTACTATTTTTTTCATAAAAAATAAATAAATTATATTGAATCTGTTCACTCGGCTCTTTAGATGAATTACTTTTTTAAGTATGGTAAAGAAAACCGTGTTAGTAATATAAAAACTAATACTTTGTATTGAATGATTGACTTTTTATTAGTAGATAATGTATATATTATATTAATGTGGGTGTATATATTTATATATTAAAATAATATATATAAAAAATTGTTCCATTAAAAAATACTGAGTGAACAGATTAATTATTTTTATTATTTTAATCGTTAAATTTATGTCTAGTTTAACAAATAATAATAAAATTGACATTATTTCTACTTACTATTTATATTCTCTATTTTTTTATTAAAATTTTCAATAAAATTTTTTTAATATCCCCATTCTAATTCAACATTAAATATTATTATTAATTTCTTAGTCTACTACTTATCCAAAAAAATTTACATAATTTTTCTGACAATCGTATTAAATTATCTAGAGTGTAATTTTTCTTCAAAAAAATATATGAGATAGGAAAAATTGGACAGAATGAAATGACAACATAGACAAAAAAATACGAGACTAATTGAAACAACAATAAACAGAAATGGGAGATGAACTGAAATAATATTATGAACAAAAGATATGAGACGAATTGAAATGACAATATGAATAAAAAAAATGTGAAACAAAAGTAATGTTCCCTCTGCCGATAAAAAATATGTCAATTTGACTAAGTATAGTTTTTTAAAAAATAAATAAAAATAATAACTTTTTACCAAGAAATGAGAATAAGAGGGTGTTTGAAAAACAACTTGAAAATTCTTTACCTTATTGAACAACTTTTTAGATATTTGACATGTCAAAAAACTAATTTAGATGTTTGATAAATTAGTTTTTTGAAAGAACTTTTTAGACCAAAAAAACTAATATCTGAAAAGCTCATCTGCCCACTGTTTTGAAAAAGCTTTTTTCATTTTAATTTTTGTTATTCCTTATTAACCCTTAAAATTTAATAATTTATTTTATACATATAAATATATTTTTATAGCAGTATTTATTAATTATTTTTAATATATTTAATTTATTAAATTATATTTTTATTTTTTAAATTTAAAATAATTACTATTATTAATTATTACATATAAATTATTTTATTTGTAAAACATATAAAATTTTTAAAACTAAATCAAATAGAAAAAACAAAGGTTATTAATTTATTTATATATATTAAAATAATTATTAACATAATAAAAACATATATTCGAAAGATTTATTATTTTATATTTTACATAATTTCAATAAAAAATTATTCCCTCCGTCATTTAAATCTATGCTCACTTTCCTTTTTGGGTTGTCATCGAAAAATATTCTCATTTCTTTTTGAAGTAAAAGATTATTCAATTTTTGTACTGGTTTTTACTATAAAAGAAAAAATTAACAATTATTACTCATTTTTATTAAAACTCATGCCCGGTCAAATGAACACACATTTGCATGACATAGGAAGTATTATTTTTTAGTAAAAATAATTTTCTCATATCTAAATAATAAAAATAAAAATAAATATTTTATAATATTTTTATAATTTTCAATAATTAATAACAAAAATTCTCATAAATTTCAAACAAAAATAAACAAAATTAAATATTTTAAAAAATAAATTGAATCAGACCAACTGATTGAATCAGTTAATAGCTAACAGCCAAACACACAAAATAAAATAAAATATTTTTTAGTAAACAAACAAGAATAGTAAAAAAAAACATATTAAATTTGAACGGAGGTAATATATTTATTTATGAAAATTGAACATTTAATGTCATTTTTTTATAAAAATAAAAATTGAAAAAATTAGAATAAAAAAAAGACTCAATTCATTAAATAATTATCTTAAACCATAAATTAGATATAAAAATACCCAAAAAAATCCTAAATATGTAAATGGAGCGTTCTAAATTCCATACAACCATATCCCCATGTCTATATAGTGCTTATCTGAATTTGAGAATTACCATCTCTTTACTAGCTAGTGCAGAGAGATTGTATTTATATTATTATTATTTATGTATTTTTATGATAGATATGAAAATTGATATTGATAATACAAAAATAATAATAATATTAAATTTTTACTCTTTTATGAATAAAAATATATATATACACCAATTGTATTAATATATATAATATTTATAAAAAATTATGCCATATAAATCTATATTTTGTGTCTGATATTTTTGTGAAAGAACATGCCCCAAAACAAAATCAATAACTATAACCCCTAAACAAATACCAAACCAAAACAAATAACAAGAACATAACTAAAACGAAAAAATAGAACAAAAACAGTAACTAGAATAAAAAAACAAAACAGTAACAAAAACAAGAAAAAAAAACAATAAATACAAAAACACAAGAATCAAAATAGAAACACAAACCAAAATCGAAAACAAAAAGCTCAAACCAAAAACCAAAACCAAGAACACCACCACCAAAAATATAAAACAATAACAAACCAAAACCATAACAAATTAAAAACGAAAAACCCAAACTAATAAAAAAAACAAAAATAAAAAGAAAATAGAGAATCCAAAATAATAACAAAATCAAACCAACACCAACACCAAAACAAAAACAAAAGGCGCAATAAAAATTACAAAACAAAGCCAAAACCAAAAAAAAAAAGAAAATCAAAAACACCAAAAACAAAACCAAACAAAAACAAATAACAAAACAAAAAACCAAAAGAAAGATTACAAAATGTAATTGTCATTTATACACACTCATAATAATAATGACATCAACTATCATGTATTCATACACTATGCAAAAACTAATCATCTACATACATGCATAAGAACTATTTCACATAAAAACACAGTCAATCATAATAAAATTAACATTCATAATCATTTCGGTGCATCTTAGTAAGTTCACCATATCATCATTATAAAGATATTGCAATAAAAATAAGAAAAAAATAATTCCAATAGATGAATCAAAAGAAGGATTATGAAATGTAATATTAGACATACACACATTAATATTAAAATTAACTAATCACATACATACAAAACACAAAAACTAATCATATACCTATATAGATAAATACACGCACATACATATATACATAAGTCAGTCAGTCAGTCACATGAACAATACAAAAACTAATCACACACATATGGATAAATACATACATTCACACATGCATACATAAGAAAAACATCTTAAAAGCAATTTCTTTCATGCAAGCATAGGTACACACAAAGTAAATTCAAAACTTAAATATATATATATATAGATACATATATATATATATCTTAGTGAATTTAGAATCAACAATATGAAAACATTATGATAGAAAAAGTAAAGATTCGATAAGACAAGACAAGACAAAATCAATAAAAAAATATACACAAATACATAATCTACTAATCATGTATATGCACTCACCGTACAAAAATAAATCATTTATATGCATATATAGATAAGCATATTACATACAAATACTATACATATCATAATAAAATCAAATTCATTCGAGCAAGTAAATATAATTTTTTTTAAAAAAAAATCACTTCAATGTATCTTAGTAAATTCATGAAGAAAAAAATTATAATAGCATGACAATAAAATTCAAGGCAATAGATAAATAAAGATTTTATGAGAGACCAAAAGAAGATAATGAGGTGTAATATAGACGTGCATTCGTATTATGATAAGATCAACTAAGATATATATGCAGACACAATACAATAATTAGTCATTTGCAATGTATGTATATATATACACATAAGCTCAAGCGCACAATAAATAAAAGAAAAAAGAAAGGAAAATCAATGCAATGCATCTTACTTAAGAACATTGTTATAAAAACATTATCTAAATAACATTCAATTAGACATACAAAAGAAAATTATGAAACAAAAAATATACACATACTAATAACAAAATCAATTAATCATACACACACAAACAAGAAAAAAAAAAAAAAGCAAGAGAAACCAAGAATTGAAGGTGGGATAAGGTCAAGGTGTACGCAAATGAGAGGATTAATTGAAGGATAAAAAATAATAAGAATATAAAAAAAATTACCCTCTTTCACTGATTTGATCGGTGTGGTTCCCCAAAATCAGAATTCCATTTTCATTTGCTTCATCTCTTACCAATTCTTCACAAGTAGATGCAGGTTTTCCTTGTTTAACTTTACTGTTTTCAAAAATCTCATCAACATTAGTGTAATATTCAAATTTAGTAATGATTTACCCACCCGGATTCATATTCACTAACTTGCCAAATACACCCTCTCATCAACACTAGTGAAATATTCAAAAATAGTAATGTTTTACCTATCCAGATTCATACTCACTACCTTACCAAATACACCCTGCCTAGAACAAGGACCACCATTAGCAGTCCACAACATTAACCTAAAAGCATAAAAACTCATTAGTACTTGCAGACATTAATAATAATGGAAAAAACAAATTGAAATGACAACCAAACATGCTTGGAAATAAATAGAAAACATGTAATACTTACTGAAGTTGAAAGTTAGGGAGTGCACTACTCACAGAGTTCTGTCATTACTTTTAGAGAAGGAATTATTCAGGTGACAAGAAATCGTTCGTTACTGTAACCCATCCATCTTCCAGAAAACAAACGAAATCGTGGGCAATTGAATTTGCAACCACTTGACGAGAAAAAATAAAAAATAAAAATCAGTAAAAGCAATATTTATCATAGGTTATTGTTGTAAAATTAAGGTTTCAAAAGTACTATTAGCTTGCTCCCAGTTGGCACCAAAAGTTTAAATACCAAGAATGGCCCAACTTTCTCCTCTCAAATAGATATATGGATCAGAGCATTATGAAAAAAGACATAGAACATTAGGCTTTCAAGTTTTATAGCATCACCAACCTTCCTGCCCAAATATCAACTAAACAAAGCAAAGCATTTATATTTTTAGCACAAGTTGTAAGTTGGTTGCTAACGAGAAGTTATGTATATGTACAAAAAAATATATATAATATTTTATCTTATCTTTTATTAAGCTTGATGAAAATTTAGAATATGTACACTTGTCACTCAATAAATTGAAATGAATTGAAGGACAATGCACTAATCGGCCACGCCATGGCTGCAAGATCTCATGTTGCAAATCATATGACATGCCTTCATGATTGCCTCGCCAAGATACGGACCAATTGCTAATTGAAATGCATTGAATGACAACACACTAATCGGTCACACCAAGGCTGCAAGATCTCATGTTGCACATCATATGGCATGCCTTCATGATTTCCCCGCCAAGATCTGGGCCAATTTTCTTATGATGGTCAACTCAAATCTTTTTATGCCTCGCCGTTTAGCTCAGATTGTAATGCAAAAAATAGCAATATAATTTGATTATTTGATTGAAAAATAGGTCAAAAGAGCTTGAAAACATTATTTGGAAAGTGAACCAAGTTGAAAGATATAGTCTCGCATGTAGATAGAAATTTCATGAAAATCAATCTAGTTTAGGTTTATACAATTTTTTTTTTTTTTTTTTTTTTAATTCAATCACAAACACAGAACAATGAACAGAGAGTATTTAAACTAAAAAGAACAAACTAGAAAATTAAACAATGTAATCAACAGGAGTGGAGCCAAACCAAAATAGGAACATGAACCCGGCCTAAACCTGTCAAAGAACAACCTGAGTTAGAGCCAGACAAGATCAAAACCCAAACCAAACAAGAACCACACCAAAAATGCAAGACTAGAAGAACCATAATATGAACAAGACTCCAACCCAATCAAACAAGAGCTAAAGCCGGAACAGAACTCAAACCTGACCGAGAACCACCTGTGCTAGAGCTAGAGTCAGACACCGGCCCCAACAAAAACTGCACAAGAGCAAAGATGGACACGAACTAGAACTAGAACTAGAACATGAAGAAGAGCTAGATCTAGATCTTGGCTGGATTTTAAGCCAAAATCAAAGGTGAGGATTGGACCAGATTATACAGAGTTCGAGACCGGGATTTGACTCAGAACCACCTAACCCAAAGGCAGAGTTAGAGAACCAAAACCAAACTAGATTCAAATCTAACCCAGAATCACCTGAGCCAAAGTTGAACCTGAACCAGGACCATGCTAGAGTAGGAACTAACTTGAACCTGACCCGGAATCACTCAAGCCATGACCAAAGCCAAAACTAAACACGAGCTAGAACCTGACTCATACATGGACTGCACCAAAGACTAGAGCCGAACCAGATCCAAGCTCAAGCTAGAGCTAGAACTAACATGAACTTGACTCGGAATCACCCGAGCCATAGTCAAAGTCAGAACCAAACACGAACTAGAACCCAATCCATACAAGAACTGCACCAATGCTAGAGCTAAATCAAATCCAAGCACAAGTTAGAGCCGGAACTAAACCAAACACAACCCAGAATCACCTAAGTTAGAGTCAGAGCCGGAACCGAACCCGAACCTGAACTTGAACCCAAACCCAACTCAGAATCACCTGAGTTAGAGTCGACTCCTGAACCAAACCCAAACTAGACCTAGACCTAGAAACCAAAACAAGAACTAGATCATCAATAAATAGCCACAGCCAAACTCAAACAAAAACCCGAACCAAACCATCAATAATTTGAAGATAAAAAAGAAACGAGTGAGAGAAGGATTTTTTGAGACAATGAAATTTTATTCCTCCTCCTAAACCAAAATTCCCAAATTCCTCAAACCCCTAAATTTTCATGGAAAATCCCCGTATATCAAAGGAAAAAATCAAAGTGAAGCACCAAATCAAGTTTATGTGTATACGAAGACTCTGCAATGTGAAATTGAAAATCTGTAAACAGTCAGTCAATCAAAGCGAATATCCTATCCTATGTAAACGTCTACTACCTGTGGATTGGTACTCTCGATTAGCATTCGCGAATCACAACTCTCGAATCAAATCTTGATTCAAGAAAACTGCATATCCATGGGCATGGTCGTCCGCAGCATTGCTATTACCCTTCCCCATCTGATCCACTATTGCACCAGAACCTCCAAAACCTTCAAAAGAACCATAAATCGTCGTGGAGGAGAAATGAAACAGGCGCCTATGGTAGTCTGCACTGCAAGGATGGGACGGAGAGAATGAGCTTATTATTATATATAATATAATGATTATTAGAAAATAGTACAGCGATAAGAGATTTCTTACTTTAATTACCAGACTTTGTAATAATAGCCCCGAACCAAAAATAAAGTAATATGGCATGTTTAAATTGGAAAGGAGAAATGGAATTCAAAACACTGAAAATCTAATGCAATGCTGAATGAAAGAAATGAGGACGAGAGAAGGATTCTTTTTTTTTTTTTTTTTGAGAAAAAAGAATTTCTATTATATTCCTCAAACCCTAAATTTTCTACCGTATACAGAGGAGAAAAGCAAATTGAAGACTCAAATCACAATAAAAAGTATATGAACAACTAGAAATTGAAAATCTGTAACTTGTTTATCAAAAGCGAATTGTATTAATTCGAAGCAATCGCAAATGGCCACTCCTAATGAGAATCGAATCTTGGATTGAACTAAAACATACCTTCCCGTACCGATTGAAATGGTCGCCGTTGTTCATCCCGCTATTGCACCGGAAACAAACTTGAAGACGAAAGAAAACCTTACCTGATGGAAATGGAAATGGAAATGGAAATGCAGCCCTCCCGAGAGCACCATCAAACTTCTGAAACCTCCTTTCATGTATATCACACTTCCCAATTGCCAATTGCCAGACCAGAGTATATATATATATATATATACACATAATAATTTATTTATTATTATTTTTTGATTGGAAATAAATGAAAAAAAATAAAAAATAAAAAAAACCTACCTTATATAGTTGTATATATCTTGTGGCCGTTACAATCGAATCAATTAACGCATGTCGAATAAAACTTACCTTATATAATAAAAAGTTACCTTATATAATTAACTTATCAATTAGCCGTTAGAAAATTAGGATATTTTAATATATAAATAATAATAATTAACGGTAGCTAATACACATTAATATTACTAATATATATTAATATTATTTTTAAATATTAAAACATAGCCAAACAAGTTTACTGTGAGCTACTCTGAGAGACACATTAATCACTTCTGAATTTTTTACTATTACCAACTATTTCGCATCAAAAGTAATGTATTTTGTAAAAAATGTATATTGATCGGTAGTCTAATAAATCAAGTAATTTTATCTTATTTGTAATTATAAAATTAATGTAATATAGTGAAAGAAATCATTTCAAAATAATTTATGTGAAAATAATTCAATTTGTGTACAACAAAATTAAAGAATGAGAGAATTTGAATTAACACTAACCTAATTCTTTAAAAAAAAAAAAAAAAAAAAAAAAAAAAAAAAAAAAAACTAGTGAAATTAAAATACAAAAAAAAAAAAAAACTTATATAATCTAAATTCCTAGTCTAATAAATTACTTCACTTGAAATTTATGTTGGATCATTAATTTAATTTTAAAAAAATATCTGATAATAATTGATAAATTGGTTATAGATCTATTAACAAATTTAACATTCAATTTTTCTTTGTTGTTTTGACAATCAACATACTGCGGTTATGATTAAAAAAAATCTAATTCAAATTATTATGAACATTTAAAATCAACCAGAATTAATTACTCAATCTTTTCTCTATGCCTCTGGGCCATTTGTCACGTATGGTTCGTCTATTATGATTTATCTTGTTGGGCCTAATTTGCAGAAAATGTTCGACCAAATATTTACCTAGTGTGTATTTTTTAATAGCAATTGTGAATTTTCACATCATAAATATATATATATCAAAATCAAACTACCTATTCAATTTAATAATTATAAATGTTATAATATGAAATTATCCAAATGTCAACAAATCAATAAAAAATCAATAAATATTTGAAATTCTCACACACACTTCACACTCCACTCGGTATCTTGTTCTTGACCTTTTTTTTTTTTTTTTTTTTTTAAGCTGTAATCATATTTTCTTTAATTATTTTTATTTTTACTAATTTTTTCAATCAACTTTAAAACTTGCTCAATATTAAAATATACAGGGTGTGTTTGTTCTTGAATTTTTTCAATCTTGTTTTTGAATTTGAATAGTTGTATGATGTGATATAAATAGGTGTTGATGCGATGTTTTGAATGTAAAATTGATTTTTAGTATAATATATAAAAAAAATAGGTGTTTGATTTGATTTTTTTGGAGAAAAAAATGGGATGAATAGTGGAAATTTAATCCAATTTCCCAAACAAACACATAGTGTATTTGTTTGGAGGTTTGGATTTTGAGTTGAGATTTGAATAGTAAAAATTTTGAATTTGAATAGTTGTACGATGTAATATAAATAGGTGTTAATGTGATATTTTGAATATAAAATTAATTTTTAGTATAATATAAAAAATAAAAAATAAATGTTTAATTTGATTTTTTTTTTTGAAAAAAAAAATAGAATGAATAGTAGATTGGAAATCCAATCTCCAAACAAACACACCCTAGAACTCATACTAAATCAATTTAAATATTACAAAAATACAAACAATTAAATTGCATAGTGAAATCATATGTAAAAATATCACATCAAATTTTAGACACAAATGTTCCGTTCATCCAACGGTTTCGATGAAATGATTTTTTTATTTTTATTTTTATTTTTTATGATATGAATAATTGTGTTAAAAATGCAAAATATATTATTTAGGTAAAAAAATTGTCATTTTGTAATGATTTTTTTTTATTTTTTATAATAAGTATTTTGATTTTTTTTTTTTTTTATAAAAAAAATGTCTTGTATTTATTATTATTTTTTTGTTACCAATACAATTAAAAAAATAGTGTTTTGAGAACAAAATGAAAATAATAGTAATTTTGAAAATTTCAACATTAACAATAAATAGTAGTTCAGTTTTTTTTAGATGAATTGATTTATTTATGATAAGATGAAATGTATTGATAATATAAAAATATTATTTTGTATTGAATAATTAATTTTTTGTAAGTGAAAAATATATATATTATATTAATATGTGTATATTTATATTTTCTTTATATTTATAGACAATTATTCCATTAAAAAATATTGAGTAAATTTACTTGTGTCAAAATTTTATTTTATATTATAAAACATCATAGTTAAATTACTGTAGCAATTATACTTTTAGAGTTATAAGTGAATAAATACATAAATGGAGTTGTTAGGCCATTTCCAACCAGAGCTATTTTTTTTTTTTGTTGCTACAGTGCGAAGTCAATTTTAATACTCTATTTTTTTAAAAAAAATTATTTTTAAAATATATTTTTCTAAATTAAAAAAAATATTTTAAATTATAAAAATAAGAAATTTAAAATAATAAGAAAAATTAAATATCTGATAAGAAAATAAAATTGTAATTGAAATAAAATTATTATATCAACTGTATTTTTAGAGTTAAAAATTAAATAAATAAAATTGATGGATATGAGATGACATTAGGACTGAAAATGAGCTAACGTTCAAAATCAGAAGCGAAGTTAAAGAGAAAGAAGGTTAAATGCCCCCAGTCTACTTGAACGTCAATAACGATGAACAAAAGCCTATTTCATACTCATCAATCACTCAATCAATCTCTCTCTCTCTCTCTCTCTCTCTCTCTCTCTCTTTTCTTGAAGCAAACTTCAATGGCGTCCACCAATCGCAATTCCCAAACCTAAACCCAAATTCACTGTAAATGTAAACCAAACACCACCACCAACAATTCAATTCAATTCAATCCAATTGAATTCCGATTGTAACGGCTACAGTAGCTTCTGGCATTTCTTGGACGCCAAAACCCGCGAACTCGCCTGACTGCCTGTCTGCTTTCTCTGCCCTCGTTTTCGTCTCCATTCTGTGAGTCTTCCGTGATTTTCCGATCCTGACAACTTTTTCCGCACTGTCTTTCTTTCCCTGCTTTTTGTCGTGGAGCTCTGAATTTTCCCCTTCTTCTGGTCGATGGCGTGATGAAGCTGAAAATAGTTCACCAGCATCAGGACAATCGCGCCATGAAGGAGGACTTGGAATTGCCTCCAATGGAGTCGCTGCCGCCGGCCGAGAATCTCCGGCCGATGGAGGCTGTCCCCGTCTCGTCCTTCAACCCCGCGCTTGTTGTTGCCGTGAGTAATTACGCGCCTGGAAGATGTAGTATATTTGCATTAGTAGAGGCGGTTAATTGAATCAGATCTGGTTTTGTTGTGGTTAGGGCAAGAGGAAGCGGAAGCCGAAGGAGCTGATCGACGATGTTTCCGCCATTGTTAGAGCTAGGAAGAGGAAGTCCTCTTCTTCGAAGTTGAGAAATGTGAGTTTCCTCCATATCCGTTTCTGCTTGCTGCTTCGATTGCGTTAGGGTTTTTTGGTTTTGGATGATTTTATTTTTAGCTGCTCAATTGCGTCTGGTTACTTCCTTTTAGGGTTTCGAGGCAATTCTGCTTCATCGTTGTAGATGAATTCGTAGGACGCCATTGCTAGATCGTCTCCTTAACAGAACTACAAAATTGACCCTCTGTTGAACATCCACTGTGTTCATCTGAAGCAAAACAATGGCGAATTTGATATATAGATAGATAATTTGATTCAGTTCATCTGTATGTTTTAGCAAACGAAACTGGCATGGTGAGTTCTGCAATTAGTTCTGGTTACGCAGACGCCATTGCTAGATCGTTTCTTTGACAGAAGCCCAAAGATGGCCCTCTGTTAAACATCACCATTGAGCTCATCTGAAGCAAAAAAATGGCGAATCCGATTCTAGGGATCAATCTTCGGTTTATGTAAGCAACAATGTAGTGTTGGAATAGCTGTTTGTATGAACATCTACAATGCCCTCGCGGTATCGGTTTCATCTTTTATTAATCCTGCAATGGATTTTCGTCGTTTCGAATATCAGGTCTTAAAGTGCGAAAAGTTTCTAGGTTGTAAGCCTTGCTCTGTTTCATGTTTTGCTTGTTTTGCTTCTGTTCAAGAAATTCGGTAAAAATTTGTGCATAAATCGCAATCTGTTTACTTTTTTCGGCTGTCGATGAAATTTTCTGTGGATCTATCAATCTACTGTGCCATTGTTTTAACAAATGGATGTAAAAATTTGTGACAGGGGACATCTTTCGGCAGAGCGACATTCTCAAGGTTCGTCAAATACATAAAATGAAATGAATATAGCCAAGAAATTGTGTTCGAATTCTGATGACAATGTTTACCATTTAAAGCAGGAGTAATGTTGGTGGATCGAGCACGCCGGCACAATTTAAATCAGCAACCATGATTCGAGCCGAGGAGGTTCAAAAGAGTTTAGGCGACGAACACCCTACATTTTTGAAACCACTGGTCAGATCGCACGTCGGCAGTTGTTTCTGGATGGTACGTGATTATAATTTCTATATGAATTCGTATTCGAAGATGCATTTCCAATTTTGAATTAAGATTCATCCGTCTGCTGCAGGGTCTTCCCGTGCTTATCTGCAAGGTCCATTTACCGAGTAAGGATGCTACCGTTGTTCTTGAAAATGAAGACGGTGAGGAGTTTCCGATCAAATATATTGCACACAAGACGGGGCTAAGTGCCGGGTGGAGAAAGTTTGTCGCTGGGAACAAATTGCTCGAAGGAGATGTTCTGATCTTTCAGCTCACCAAACCTTGCCGGTTTAAGGTGACGCAATCTAACTTGTTTTACTCTCGAGCAATTCGAAATTTTCTACACAATTGTTCGACTATGCTGTGGGAAAGATTCATACTTTATTAAATAATGTTGATTGTCCGCGATCTTTCTGCAGGTTTACATAATTCGGGCGAACGATCTGACCGAGGTGGATGGCGCCCTTAGCCTCCTTATATTGGATTCGCAAACGAAACAAAACGATTCCGGTTAGTTCGTTGGAAGATCGTACGCTTCCATTCTTGTTTGTTTCTTGTGTTCAAGTTTCGCTAAAAATTTTTACGCCAGGCTACAAGGCGGAAGGGATTGATTTACGACGACGTAGCAAGAAGAGACATCCAAAATCGCTTCCATTGACAGACCTGCGGATGAAAAATCACGAAGAACGGCAATCGCCGTCTCGTCCCGAGCATTCCGGGAATGACAGCGACGAGGTTGCCTCGGAAGTCTTGGAGGGCACCAAGTTCTCCAGAGCTTCGTTAAATCTCAACGACGTTAAAAGCTTCGAGGACTTCCGCATCATCGTCAACGGTGCGTGCATTGACTCCGAGCTCCCGGAAGACATCCGTCAAAAATACTACGATCTCTGCTGCAGTAAGAATGTGTTGCTCCACGAGCATCTTCTCCCGGGTCTTTACACCAAGCTAGCTGCCGGCGTAATCGCGGAAACCGTCAACACTGCCGATCTCATACGTTCTTGCAAACTGACGACCCCGAGAAGGGATTTCGACGTGTGGGAGAAGTCTCTGAGATCGTTCGAACTCCTGGGGTTGAACGTCGGATTCTTGCAGTCGCGCCTGCGGCGGCTGCTCGACCTGGCGTTCGAATCGGACGGGTCGACGGAGATTCGGAGGTACTTGGAAGCACAGAAGGAGCAGGGTCGAACGGAAATTGAAATTCAAGAACTTGAAGCGAAGCTCGGGGAACTGAGAGAGATGCTGGCGAAATACGACTGCGACGTGGAGAGTTTGAAGCGCCGGGCGGAGAGTTACGAGCGACGGTTTCTAGAAGAAGCCGATGCGCCGTGGTGAAAAAAGAGTTGGAACTTTAGGTTAATTAGCTGTTTTTGCAGCCACTGTTGAAGTTTCTTGAATTGATTGTTGTTGTTATGTTTGTGTATGTATTTATGTGTTTGTTTTTGGATAATCTGGTCTGGTCTGGTCTCATCTGATCTTGATTTGGTTTGTGGTGCTGTTAGGAAAGTGTCAAAATCAAAGGCTGGAGGAAGTTGTACTTGTTTAATTTTGTTAAGTAGATTAACAAGTTAGGGAATGGTTCAGTGGTGACATGGGTAGTCTATATATATAGATAATTCATATAATTATAGTGTTGTTTATTTATAATTATAAATTTATTGTTTAATCGCATTAATATACTAAAATAAAAGAGTTACAAGTGATATTTTAGATGTCTATGTAAATAATATTTTCATGCCTCACTTAATAATAAATATTTTATTTAACTTATAGCTACTCTATATTTAGAAAATATTACATTAATAAATATTTAATAAGTAGTTTTTTATATAAATCAAATTACAATTTAATATATTCAATATATATAATAAACATTAAAAAAATATATAAAATATTAAATTTAATTCAATTCAAATATGCTCAAGAGAGAGAGAGAGAGAGAAGTGTAAGAGAATGATTGATCATGGCAAGGTACTTACTTGATTTCGTTCTTCCCCATGACATTGCACCCCAATGCCAATCAACTCTCTAGCCCTCTTCACTTGCAATATCCAATCAGTCCTCCTCAAGGCCCAAATCATCAGAACAGCACAAATCAATTGGGCCCCCAGAAGGCCCAACCACAGGCCCAATAGGCCCAATTTCATCACAAACCCAAGAAACACAGCCAGCGGCAATCCAACGGCGTAGAATGATCCAAGGTTGATCTGAACGCCGAGGCCCGGCCTGGCGCTGCCCCTCAGCACGCCGCAGCCGGTGGTCTGTGGGCAGTTCCCGAGCTCGCACAGCCCGACCACCGGCATGGCGGCGGCGGTCAGGGCGATTATCGCCTCGTCGTCGGTGAAAGCCGCCCCCCATGCAGCACGGAGGGCAACCATCACCGCCGCGGCGATCAGGCTCGCCGCAACGGCGCACGACACCGCAATGTGCGCCGTCGCCCGAGCCTTCCCCGGCCTGTTGGCGCCGAGCTCGTTCCCGACGCGCGTCGACGCTGCCAGGCCGAGGGCGGAGGGGAAGATGTAGACCAACGAGGTCGCCTGGAGAAGGATCCCCATGGCGGCGACGGCGTCCGCCGCATCGGCGAGGATCCCCGACAGGAGGATCATGAGCTCGTACCACCACCACTCGAGGCAGACGGAGAGGCAGCTCGGGACGGCGAGGTTGAGCACCGATCTCCATTCGTGGTCGAAGCCACACCGGAGGATATTCACCGCCGCCGCTGCCGCCGGAGGCAGCCTGCAGAAGCAGAGGTGAGCAGCAAGGGCGGCGAGGAGGATCATGTCGGTGAACGACGCCGCGACGGCGACACCGCGGACGCCGAGGCCGGAGAGAAGGTAATTTGCCGGGGCGTGGAAGGCGAGGGCGGCGGCAGCGCTGAGCATAAGAGGGGCAGTGATATTCTGAGACCTGAAGTAGATTTTGAGAGGGTTGATGAGGGAGTGGAAGAAAAGGTCGGGGACTGCGAAGGCGAGGTAGGCGGCGGCGACAGTGGAGACGGCAGGGTCTTGATCGAAGAAGAGGAGGACAGGGCGGATGTTGAGCCATAGTAGGGAGATGGGGAGGGAGGCGAGGAGGAGGGTGACGGTGGTTCGGATTAGGGTTTGGGTGATGAGGGGCCATTGTTTGGCGCCGAAGGCTTGGGAGGAGATGGCGTCCATGCCCAAGGCGAGGCCGGAGATGACGGAGTAGCCGGTGATGTTGGCGATGCCGATGGCGAGGGAGCCGCCGGCGAGGGCGTCTTTGCCGAGCTTGCCCAAGAAGAGCATGGAGATGAAGGACTTGCTGTAGATGAGGAGGCCTGTGAGGATCAAGGGGAGGGCTATGGAGAAGAGCATTTTGATCTCAAGAATGACCTGCAAATCAAGATCAAGAATTACACATTTGTTAGTATAGTAAGAAATAAGAAATCAACATGTTAGTTAATATATATATATATATATATATATTAGATACCTCTGAGAAAGAAAGGTTTTTGGGGGTGTTGAGGAGAGGGGCAGATGATGGTGAGGAAGACATGATCAGAGTAGGAGTGACTGATAGAACAATAAGGCCCTAATTGAATGTTGTAAGAAACAGAGAACAAAGCAAGCAATGTTGAAAATCAAGAACGGAGGGAGAGTGGTTTAGTTGCATGTCTCTCCCTCTCTCGAAATTAAATGAAATGGAACAAAGATTAAGACAAGAGAGCACATTCACCTCAGTTTCTTAGATATTTATCACTATTTGAATTTTTTTTTTTTCATAATATATAGCAGCAAATATTCTTTAAATGCAAAATTTAAACAACATACTCTCAATTCAAAATCAAAGATAGACCTTAAGGTTATTGGTTTAAATCTGACGGTCCACTTGCAACACATGGTTTACCTAATGTAATTTGCTTTGTCGAACCTAATTTGCAATGTATTAAGTTCGGCCGAAAATTTACCTAGAGCGCACTCAACAAGTAATGGTTGTATATTCCCATGTTTAAAGAAAAAAAAAAATCCAAAGAAAGACACCTGCCCCTGAACAACAGCCAAAAACTGACCTAGACTAGGGACTAGGGTTTAAGTTTTGCTCACACGGAACAATTACAGAGCTGAATAGGAACATAATATATACAAACATATGTTCTTATTACACATAACACAATAGTAAAATCATGTGATATTTGTTTATAATTACATATGTGCTTAGGTCATATATTGTATTTGTATTATATTAATATAGTATTATTTATAATAACATTGTATGCTGCATTTGCTTTTCCGCACATAATTTTAAATTTAGCAAGGTAGCCGGTGCCTACTTACACATCCATTGAATAATAATATATTAATAATAATAGGTACAGGAGGCAGGCAGGGTTGATGATTGGTGGGATGAGATGGAATGGCACGTGCCAAATGGGTGCGTGGGTGGTGTTGGGATCGGAATCAACATTAGTACCTCACGTGGGAGTGGGAATTCTTCCCACTGCGACGACACAAGTACACAGGTAGATGATGAAAACCAACCCCAACCCCAACCCCAACCCCCCTTCCCTTTCCCCTTCTATTTTGTCACTCTCTTTGTACCCTACCCACCCCACCCTTACAGGATACCATTTGTACCCAACCACCTCGTGAAATGTCCTATTTCACGGAACAATAACAATCATTACCAAACAATTTACTATCAATTCCATAGTGAAAATCCCAATCCAAATTACCATCAAATCTAAATTTCAATCTTTGCAACTTCTTTTTCAATGCAAGGAATAATACTAATACTTACTGCAATCCCGTCCTATTTCAAGTATCATCCAACTATTGACTAAAACAAGTATCCATTTACGGCATCTTTACTACAATACCAATGCCGATTCGATAAAAAAGATTAATTAATCACTCCACAGATGCTTGTAAGTAAACATACTCGATAAGTTAGAAACACTTACCAGCCCACATTGCAACTGATTGAATTGTGAAGGTTGAGGGATGAGACCTCAGTAGAGTCCTGATAGAATTTTTAAAAAGTAAATAAATAAATAAATCTAAAAATCAAAGAAGAACAACAAAACATGATAAGATGAGTACCAGCAGCCACTACTGTATTCATAATAATTCAAATGCAAATACCTTTCGAGACAGCGCGGACACGGGTAGGGTGTGCACAGTTTCGAGCCAGAGGTAGGCCACAAATAGGGATGTATCATTGCCTGTTACCTTAATGGTGAACCCGCCAAAATTTGATCGCGATTGCTATTCCCAGGCATCGTCATAAAGCATAATAGGGACCATGTCACCATTAATCCCCTTTCTGTCCTCCTCCTCCCCCCATAAGTCAGACAGGATCTTTCTGTTCTTGCATCCCCACTTTGGGGTGTCACTGCTGAAATTAGTACCGGCCCAAGCCAAAGATAAACCTCACATGAGGAATTGGCATCATAAAAACCATACCTGCTAGCTCTCCATAATCAAATTTATGTCCCCAACAGTTTCATCCATAGGTTCTATAAGACATAGAAGTTTCTCATTTTTAAACAAGGTGGTCTCTTAAGACATGTCAGCACATGTTTTCGAAGGCCTAAAAAATGAACCATAGGGAAAACTAACTGAAAGAAACATATCCATTTATTCGCATTTAATTAGAATATCAAGAGAATGCTGTTTGATTTTATTCTGTTCTAGTTGACATGCATGACTGCTCATAAAAAACTCCCTATGTAGAGAGACAAGTTTTAATTTATTCAATGGGCTAAAAGCTAGCGTACTATATGTTAACCGAAGACTAATATAGCCACAATGTGAAGAGTTCTTGGTGACTGTTCTTACAAAATCCAAAGCAGCCAGCAATACTCTTGAGATATAAAATCTGGATACTTCATAATTGCTGCGACAAGTAAATAAAAAGCTAATCAAGTCATGCAGAGGAAAAACAGCGGTAAACAATTAATCATAAGGCATCTTGAGGAGTCTATATTATTTTCATCATAGACAAACAGTTCCAATGCATTCTTTAAACATGGGATGAGGTTAGAAAGGCATCTTCAGTCTTCCAAGCTCATGAAAGCATGAACGATTGGTGCTGATGGAACAACTCATTGAGGACAGCTTGCTATTTAGAATACACAACAGCTAGATAATTCAGACAAATGAATTCAACTCAATGACAACAGCCAGGTCCATATCAAGAATACAGGAAAAAACGACAGGTCTAATCAAATTTCTAATTAGCAGTTGATTGCTAACAAATTCAATGGTCTACACAAAGATACAACCAAATTAAATATCTCCACCAACCCAACAAATCGTCCCTAAAGCATCACAAAATTTTGTGGATGAAATTTAAACAAGGCACCAAATACTTATTAAGTACTAATCATACTTCTCACGAGAAAGGAATTATGATTCTCCCAAAATGGATAAAACATGGATGATTCCCAAAGCTATAAGCAACTTATAAAGAGAAGAGATGAAATAAAAACAGCTACCCTTCACCCATCTGTGGGGGACCTAAAGCTGGGCCTGAAATCCTGTTCAATAACATGCAAGACATTCATTCAGCAGTACCTAAAGTGGGCCTCTACAACCTTCACCCAAAAAACATCACAAGACGAACTTCATTCCCATTTTTTATCCCGGTCCCCACTGTGTATTCAGTATGTTGAGACAAACATATAGATAAGGACTCACATTGGCAGCAATTTCTAAATGAAATTATATAGTAAGGCAATAACAATACTTGGGGAAATAGACTCTTAAATGTGGAAAAGATAATATTCAACTCATAGTGATATAAGAATTTAGAATGCTGTGTAAAGTAATATGCACCAATTAGAATCGACTTCAGAATGATGTGAATAAGTAAAATTCACCAATTAGCAACAAGTGTCAGTAATCCAACTTACAACATTTTCATTTCAGCACATTAGAACTTAATGAACAAGAAATTATAAGTGAAACTCAAGATATTCAACTCTGAAAGAAGTCTACAATTATTGAAGAAATGATCTTCAAAAAATGAAGCAATAATTGAAAGTTCTAAGTTGATAAATTATGAGAGAATCTTTTATCCCAAGCCTAGGCTAACATAACAAATTTGCTAACCCTAAAAGAGTCCAAATAAACATGGACAATTATGAATCATATACTCCTACTACCATTCATACTAAACTACCAATTATAGACGTCTTTTTGCTTAATATGATCCATTGCACTGCATGATCATACTGTTCAAATTCTTATAATCTCCAACTTCTAAAAATCAAGTTATACTTCTGACATTTATTTCATTTCAATGATAACCAAGCCTGAAAAAGTTCTTTGCCTTCACTAGTTACAACAAATGCTGACATTTCAAAGCAAGTCTCTGAGTTCCTTTTGCATTGACCCTTTGAGATTGAATTATGCTCAAGTTTTTATGTTTGTAGAATGTTAGACAATGTCACAGGAGAACTACTTAATTGATTGAAATCATGAAATAAACTGTTCATGTCAGATAATGATGATGCTGACTTCTGACTACTCATGTATTTGGAACGTTTCGAGTATGTTCCATCTGAAAGCTGGGAAGACAACAGAAGAATCAAAGGCCTCCCTTGTGGGGACTAAGGTTCTTATCCTTGTGTTGTCAGTATTAGGGGAGCAATATCGGAAAAAGATGAGGACCCTTATCAGAGTTGTAGCTTCTAAACCAATAGAAATTTGGTGAGAGATTGTAAATCCTTGAAAAATAAAGTTTCAGTATTCCCAGCACCACTTCAGCCTTTGAGATGATGGAAATAGTTGATATTCTATTATGGGAAGAACTTAATTCATGCTTATTCCAAAACCCTTTCCAGTTCTTAAAAGCCAAGTACACAAGGTGTCTATGTTTCTCCTTCACAGTTCTACCCATAGGGGCAAACCCTTTCCTCTTATCACCAGTTTTAGGACATGTAGGCTAAAACCCACTTTCCTCACAGGCCAAACAGCTCTAACGGCATAAAAAATTACCAAGATGCCCAAAATCCAAATGTAAATACATATTTAAAATGTTAAAACTTGCAAATTCTTCCAAACAAGACATACTGCATTGAAGGACTTTCAACTATAAGACATAATTTGCGTATAGAAGGCACATGTGTTAAGCCTTACACATCTGTTATCTTTGGGTGCTTCACGAGGGGGGACCACGACATGCTCACATCATCTCGAATATCTGTTCAAGGAAAATATATTATTGTCAAACATAAAATAGGTGGGAGATACAAATCATGATGATACATATATTAATAAAACCATAAATATTGGTAGTCCTGTGATTGTAAGCAATACAGGAGTAACATCATATTGTTACATTGTGAAATCAAGAAGGCGATATAATATCATCAGATCATACATGATACGAAAAGAGAAAACTCACGTGTATAGGCATTTCAGCAATGACCATACCACTGCTTTCCTCAAGGCTTTTAAGAATCACCACTTCTCCACCGACAACCATGTTGATCACTAGCCCATCTTCACAAGAAAATTGACGAAAATAATATTAGCCTATAAGGAAACTCACAAATTGCTACAATAAAAACAAAAGAAAGTTGATGCAGCCAGTTTCACTTTTTTGCTTGACTATTCAGGAAGAAAAATCACCATCATACAATTACTTCAGTTCTATTCAGTTAGCTACACCTATACACTCCTCCCCAAACTACAAGACAATTTACAGCCTTCTTTGACTACGAACCTGATGACAGACAAGTTGCCATGCGCCTCATATATGTCTCCTGTGGAAGAATGTATGCAATTTCTTAGGGAGTGTATCAGTGTCAATAAATTAAAATGAATTAGAATTATGAATTTCAAAGAGTAATTTCAATCTGAACAGAGCTTTTGTCAATAATAAATGAAGAAAAGGCACTTTTTTCCCTTGTGTTCAGCCAATTACTTCCTTGAATGATACTTCTGGAATTATATTTTGGCCTTAATCTCAATGTCCATTGCTTAAAAATAAATTGTAATGGTGATAATAACTTTTTTTTAAGAGCCAAAGTCAGGTTGTATTTTGATGTTCTGTTGTATTTTGGGAATAAAAAATTTTGAATTGCAATTTGTTTGATTCAATATAAATAGGTATTTAATGTGATATTTTGAATGAAAAAAAAAAATGTATGTAATATATTAATTGAAAAATAAATATATGATGGTATGATTTTTAAGGGGTGGGGGGGGGGGGGGGGAAGAGTTAATGTAGAAGCATATTGATAACAATTATGGTAAAACAAAACCAAACAAACTCTCTATTTCTCTAATTGAAAACCCAAGGCAAGCATTCTCTACAAATCAGCTGATGTATGATATGAAATTTTTTTTGAGGTAACAAGAGGGTATAAAGGGGCCATATACAAGAGGTAGATAGCTGCCGCACCATAGAGAAATAGAAAATGGTTCAAGGTGATGATGGATTAGAAATATGACTCAAATGCTACAAAGCAACTTTCCTGATATGCATCATTGTGGAGTCCGTGAGAAAACATAAAATGAATATAGAAAACATAATTTGTGTAACGTATTTATTTTCTCTTTGAATAATGATGAACCAAGTAAAAGAAAGAAGATTATGCATTAATTTCCCATATTTGATCTCTAAGATAGTTTATTTTTTATTTAACGAATATATGTATAAATACTAATAGTAGTTACATGATGTTGGATTGTTATTGAGAAGTCAGATCATCTTGATATAAAATGGGCAAACTCGGAGTAGGTAAAAAAATATAGTAAACTTCAGCATACCTATAGGACCCTTGATCCAACTCATAAAATCCAACTGATAGACATATCAACTACAGCCAATAGCATATCCAGGATGGTTGAGAATCTAACATGCTCCAAATTTTTGTCAGTTAAGTCTATAAGTACATCATAGTTTTGAGCTCAAGCAGAACAAGTCAACTTCACAAAACTACATAAAAACATCATCAATCCTGCACAGAGTAATTGTTTCATGTTGGTTGTCCCATAATTCTATCAAATATTATGCATCCTTCGCGTGAGGATTTATAAACTCATCCATCAATTATGCAATTTATATTTTTACTTAATGTTATCATAAGAGTATATGCAATGTTGTTTAGAAATGATTTCATGGTCCACAAGAGCTATTCTAATAAACCATTTCCTACTTATGTACTATGTCATCGATTTATTTATTTAGTTTTTTTTTTTTTTTTTTCATTTTTCTGGTTTTGGACTTTTGCTGGTTGCCAAGTAATCTCTAAGAAACAACCAATCCCTCTTACTTAAATAGAGGCAACTTAGGAAATGAAAAGGCTGAAGAAAGGATGTACGCAGTGATCTTCATTGTTGCTAACACCATCTTCACCATTAGCTAAAGTTTCATCAACGAGCATCCGGAAAAACAACCATAAGGAAATACCTAGACTAGTATTTAAATTATAAGAACGTAAGCATGCAATTTGATATATAGGTATATTGTGAAGTAAAGACCAACCCAAATACTTTTACAAAGAACTTACAAACATTACTAGCATTTAGACAAGACAACATGTAGCTAATATTCTTACTTAAAGCATAACCACAGTTTTGTACATGCATTTCTTTGCAAGATACACCAAATCTTATATTCAACAATATGATTGCAGAAACAGTAACGGAAAAACCTAAGGGTTAAAACTAGAACAAACACAAAAAAGACCATTAAAGCAGAAACAGAGAAAAAAGATTTCTGAAAAGCACACACCTTTTTTGTTGGCAGCTCATAATTAATCAAAATGCGAGCTGAAACAGGGGCCTCGGAGGAGCCAAGGAGTGGAAGGCAAGCATCTGTAACAACAATCAAGTGTGATTTGCGGTCCTCTTCCTTTTCTGACTCACTATCAAGTTTCTCTCGTCCCAACCTATTCCACCTCACAATTGCCTGACGAAAATCATCCAGAATTCGTGCTCTGTCTGCTTCTGGAAGATCACTATACTGAAACATTAATGCATTAATGTATCAAAAAACATTAATGCATTAACGTATCAAAATAAGACCATATATACATATATATATATGTGTGTGTGTGTGTGTAGTGCATAGCATACCTACCAGAGAAGAAATAGAAATATACGAGGATAAATTAGAGACATTGGAACAGACGGCATCAAGCTCATCACGGGAGCTGCAGCACACAACCATTGGAAGGCAAGGACGTTGCCCAGCCATTCCTAAAAGATCCATCAGCGTTTCCTGTTAGATTGTTTCCAGTTTTTAAACACATTCGGTGAATAATCCGCACACAGAATTAAAAGATTCAAATTCGTTATAAAAAATGCCTCGTGACAACCATCTTGAATTGAAGTCTGTCTACAGCCAGGTAGAAATGGCGCTGGGGGCTGAAAAAACGCACGCCTTTTAAGCGAAACCAAATCGAAGACGGCGTACCAAAAAGAGAAAGATTCCGCAGAATTACACGAAACGAATGAAGGCGTACCTAAAAGAAGACGGCGTCGATGGAGAAGTGGACAGAGGAGATTCCGCAGCATCCATCGGGCCTCGGTTCGCCGCTCGCAGATTCTCCGCCGGTAATTCGCCCCCCGCTTTCTCACTGTCGGAGATCCGTCAGAACTTCCCGATTTACACCACCGCAGTTTCATACTATCCTGCTGATATTCTCATTCAGCTCCCTGAACTTTGATTAAATGCGAATAAGCCCCTTCAGTTTTACTTTTTCCAAATGAGCCCATCTTGAAACTTTGAACGGACAATTCCACGTGACGCTGTTCATCGAAGTAATCTTATAAGTATTATATAATTATATAATATAAATTTAATAATATATTATAGATCGTAAAAATATTTATAACATTAATTATTAAAAATAATATAAATTTAATAATATTTATATAATATATTATAAATCGTAAAAATATTTATAACGTTAGTTATTAAAAAAAATATATTTTATTATCAAAATAAAAAAACAAATATTTGGTTATTGAAAAATAAAAAAATTAAAAAAAAAAAAAGAAAAAAAAAAAAGGAAAACTTGTTAGTTAAAGCTAATCAACACCACAAGTGTACTGTGTTGGTTGCAAAGATCTTTATTATTTATAAAATTTATCACCCTACAAACCCATTAACTTAAGAATTTAATTTTCATTGTTTTTTTGGTAATTAGTTAAAATCTAATTTACATTTAAAGTATCTTATTAGGGTGTGTTTGTTTGGGATTTAGATTTTGAGTTGAGATTTAAATAGTAAAAATTTTGAATTTTGAATAGTTATATGATGTGATATAAACAGGTGTTGATGTGATGTTTTGAATGTAAAATTGATTTTTAGTATAATATAAAAAATAAAAAATAATGTTTGATTTGATATTTTTTTAAAAAAAAAAATAGAATGAATATAGTATTTTAAATTCAATCACCAATCAAACACACCCTTAATATATATTTATGTTAAAAACAAATAAATATTTAAATTTAAAAAATTGTACTAATTAAAATCAAAATTCAAATCCAATATCCTCCAAACTATAGTAAAAACAAACCTATTCATAATATTTAAACTTCTAGGCTTAGTTCACAATTAATGTGCAGAGACCTCTGTTTGTTGTATTTGGTTGCAGGATTTGAGAATGTTTTGACTTATTTATTAAAAAAAAAAAAAAACCTCAGAAAGTAAAATTAAAACTACATATATATTACAATAGACTTAAAAATAAAATTTATATTTAAAAAATTATATTAATATATATTTATATTATATTAAATAATTATATTTTAATTTAACAATTTACTATACAAAATGGTATGCTTTTGGGGATTTTTTAAATATTAAAAAAAAATAGCATTTAGTACGATGATTTGTGAGAAAATTCGATTTGAATTGAAATGTTTGTTGATTTTTTATTTAATAGTATTTTTATTTAAAATTATTTAAGATGAATAGCAATATTAAATAAAAATTACAATTATAAATGAACAAACCCTCAGGTCAAATATTTCAAAAATAGCATGTAAACAAAAGCAAGCTCACAAACAGACCTTTTTATGTTAGTTTAAGCTTTATTCTCTTTAATTATTTTGTTTTACTATAATTTTTTTTTTAAAAAAATATGAAATATTTATTGAATTTTATATTTATAATTATATCAACAAGGGTTATGTTTTTTATTTCCGTATGTTCATTTATAAAAGTTATATTTTTCTATTTGATATGGATCTTATATTGTTGCAGTCAAATCAGCACAACACGATGTTGATTTTACCGAACGAGTCATAAAGATACACAAATGTCACGGGCTGACATTCATGCCCCTGGTTCTCGACCATAGTTTGTTCCATGCGTGCGAGTCTCTGTCTTGTATGGTCGACTAATGACCCATATCTTTGTGCAAGTACGTGTTATCGTATGATTTTTCCATGTTGTATGGCTGATCTGGGCCTCAGTGCAGACGTGGCCTAGGCGCCGGATGTGTCAGCTTCCGGACATGTTACATATGGTATCAGAGCGGACCTTAACGCTGGTGGCGAACGAAGCGACAAAGTGGACATTGCTCGAGTAGCATGTCTGTGGGCACGTAAGGATGAGCATGTCTTAAGGTAATTGGACAATCCGACGTTGCCGAGCACGTCAAGGAAGAACATGTTTTAACGAAATTGGACATCCCAAATAAGGGGAGTATACTCGACGTTGCTGAAGGGCCAAGAGGGTTGAGCTTTGTTTGTAGAGCAAAACCACATTAAGGACAATCTTCGGGCAAAAATCGCACAAGTCGCAACAACGGATGTCCCGGATGGTGTGTGGAGATGCGCAGCGGAATTTGGGTCGCATGTGGGTTGATTATGGCAAAAGACCTTGCTGGTTGTTGGTGAGCACAAACATAAGGGTATGCAAGAAATGGTCGACGGAGTGATGTTGGAGGCATATCAAGGGTGCAAGAAACAATGTCAGTGTGCTAAGTAGCGTCGCACGTGGGTGTTTGCAAGTTGAAGTGGGGGAGTTTTGTCACGGACTGACATTCCTGCCCCTGGTTCTCGACCATAGTCCGTCCCATGTGTGCGAGCTCCTGTCCTATACGGTCGACTAATGACTCATATATTGGTGCAGGTATGTGTTCCGCATGATTTTCCCGTATTGTATAGTATATTACGGGCGTGTTGCGTACAAGGAACGACTGGTCTGGGCCTCAACACGGGCGTGGCCTAGGCGCCGAACGTGTCAGCTTCCGGACTAGTTACGTTCTTTTACAAGTTTTTGGCAAATCTATATTGTTCACTAATTTTTTCTCATTAAAAATATAAATCAAGTATTTGTTTTTATTTTTTTATATTATACTCCCTCCCTCCTTCCTGACTATCATATTTTTTTTTCAGTAAACACAAAAATTTAGAAAGGATATAATTAATAAATAATTTAAAAATATATTAATAAAAATAATTATTGTACAATAAAAAGAATTAGATTAAATTTAAGATAACTTATTAGTGTAATTACAATTAAAAAAATTGTAAATTAAAAAATTTAAAATAAGATTAAAGTTTATAATTTTTTCCAAAAAATTAAAGTGACTGAATAAGTGTACAAACATGAAAAAATAGACATGATAAGTTGAAAAAAAAGTATTACAAATCAATTTTACATTTAAAATATCACATTAATATCTAACGCATTATAAAATTATTCTAATCTCAATCTTAAAATTCAAACTCTCAAAGAAACACAACCAAAAAATTTCACTACAAATAAACTTAGAAAGGTAAAATTTTCATTTAACCTAAAATACCACGGACTATTATTAAAATATAATATTTTTAAATATTAGTATAAAAAAACAAATACAAATGTAATTGTTGTTATTTGATGAAGGGATTATTTTATATTTTAATTTTTTTATATTGAAATATTATTAAAAAAGAAAACTCAAATTACAATTTTAATTTCAAATCAAAACCAAATACTATTTCAAAGTCTTGTTTCGAAAAATTTATGAAAACTGATTTAGATGACTATTTCTAAAAAATACTCCACTTTTTTCTCTTTGCCTAGCTTAGTTAAAAAATAACTTAAAATTTTAGCCTCTTCCTTTTAAATATTCGGCAACATTTTTTTTTCTCAAAATAAGTACAATATTTTTGAATTTAAAAATAATTAATTATATTTATATACCCCATCCGTCTTTGATACTATTTTTATTTTAAATATATTTATAAAATAAAAAATAAAAAACTAAAATAAATGGGAGAGACCTAAATCAAAACGAAAAAATCGAAATCAATTATAAAAGGTATTTTCTGTACCAAAAGCGTTCCTCTGTCCGTCCGTCCGTCCGCCTGTCCGTCTCTCGATCTCTCTCTCTCTGTAATCCGTCGACTAAGAACGCCGCCGCCGCCACCAGGAGGGCTTCTCTGTCTCGCCTCACGTCTCTCTCCCTCTCTCTCTGCCCACTCGACGTACGTACGTAAATACACGCGACCTATTGTATCCTAAGCCATCCCGAGGTATGACGCTCATCCTATCGAACGCACACTTAATACTCGATCCCCGATTCGATTTTGTTTACCGATTCTAGGTTAAATTAATTGACGATCCTTACTTTGATTTCAGTGCTCTGATAATGAGTTTATTTTGGTTAATGTGGCGGTGATGTTTCTTTTTGGTTAATTATTGTTGTCATTGCTCTTATGGCCTAGGGTTTTCAGTTTGTTGCTATTGTTTATTTGTTTCTGCAGTGAGATCTGCTGAGGGAAGGCGTTGTTTATAAATTATTGTGTTTGTGTAAAGCGGGAGAGGGCCTAGTGCGTGGGATTAGGGTTTTGATGTGTTGAGGTGGTCTGGCAGGATCGGGGTGTCCAGTTCGGGTTTGGCTCCGTTCTGGAGATGGCCAATCATGGCTCCAAGTTTGTATCGGTGAATCTGAATAAGTCTTATGGGCAGCAGCATCAACCTTCTCATCATGGTCGCTATCCTCATTTTAATGGAGGTGGCAGTTCCTACGGGCAGGCTGCTGCTGCTGGGAGAAGCCGGGGAGGGAGTGGAGGTGGCGGTGGGATGTTGGTTTTGTCCCGGAGCCGGGGTGGCCCTGCAAAGGCTGTTTCAAAATTATCGGTTCCACCCCCCTTGAATTTGCCATCATTGAGGAAAGAACATGAGAAATTCGACATATCAGGCTCTGGTGGGCCTGGTGCAGGTGCAGGCACTGGAACTGGTGCAAGACCCTCTTCTTCAGGTGTGGGATGGACCAAACCTGCAGCAGCTACTGCTGGAATGCCAGAGAAGAATGATACTGGTGTTGGCGTTACTGGAGGGGATGGGATGGATTCTATGGATGTAGCAACTCGGGCAACTGGTTCTTATATGCCGCCTTCAGCTCGCCCAAGTGGGGTAGGGGTAGGTCCTGCTTCTGAAATTCAAACCTTTACGACATCAGCAGAGAAAGCCGTGGTTCTGAGAGGTGAGGATTTCCCATCCCTGCAAGCTGCAAGGCCTGTTTCATCTGGGGCGTCACAGAAACACAAGGAGCTCTTAAAGCAGAAGCAGGTCTCAGGTGATGAATTGACTCAGGATAAAAGGGACCGTAATCTAGGACCTGTGGTTGATATGAATACACCGGGACATTCTTCAAAAATTATGGGTGGAAATGGCTTGGTGGAGTATGGCGGTGAAGGGCATGCAGTCGGTAGTGGCCGAATAGCTGATAATTTTCAGAAGAAAGAAAATCTTCCTAATCCACTGCCACTGGTTAGTGTGACTCCTAGATCTGATTGGGCAGACGATGAACGTGATACTGGCCATGGATTTATGGAGCGAGGAAGAGATAATGGATATTTGAACCCTGAAAATTATTGGGACAGAGATTTTGACTTTCCCAGGCCCAGTGTTTTACCTCACAAACTCCCGCAGAATCAATATAACAGATGGGGTCGACGAGACAATGAAACTGGAAAGAATTTTTCTAGTGAAGTCCTTAAAATAGACCCATTCAACAAAGATGCGAGAGCCTCTAGTAGGGAAGGTAGAGAAAACAGCAAGTGGAGATCCTCTACTTTTTCGAAGGATGGTTTTAGTGCTCAAGGAGGAGGAGATTACAATAATGATGTTGGTGCAAGAATGGGTGGTCATAATAACACGATGAAGGAGAGTAGGTACACCCCACCTCATTCTGGAGACATTGGTCGAGATGCCAATGCCCTACTTAACCGAGATTCTGCGTATGCGAGAAGGGATTCGGGTCTTGTAGGATGGCAACAGCAGCAACAGCGTAATTATTCAACAGAACCATTAAAAAACAAAGGAGCTGAACGAAATTCTTGGGATCTTCATGTCACCGAGCATCCTAATAGGCCGAGGGGCATGGATTATCAGAATAATACTGTATCCAAATATTCTGGTACTTCTGGGAAAATGCTTTCAGTAGCAGATCCAATACTGACCATGGGGCGGGATAAACGATTTTCAAAAAGTGACAGACATTATTCTGAAGATCCTTTCTTGAGTTATGGATCTACTGATTTTGATGAAAAGGGGGATATATTTTCAGGAGGTCTTGTTGGGGTAATTAAGAGGAAGAAAGATGCTGCTAAACCTACAGACTTTCATGATCCTGTTCGGGAATCTTTTGAGGCAGAACTTGAAAGGGTCCAGAAAATGCAGGAGCTGGAGCGGCAGAGGATCATTGAAGAGCAGGAAAGAGCTATAGAGCAAGCTCGAAGAGAGGAGGAGGAGAGGCAAAGGAGGATTAGAGAAGAGGAGGAACGGCGGAGAAGGCTTGAAGAGGAGGCCCAAGAAGCTGCTTGGAGGGCCGAACAGGAGCGCCTTGAGGCTATTCAAAGAGCTGAAGAGCAAAGAATTGCCAGGGAAGAGGAGAAAAAAAGAATCCAGTTGGAGGAAGAGAGGAGAAAGCAAGCTGCCAGGCAGAAGCTTCAGGAATTGGAAGCAAGGATGGCTAGGAGGCAGGAAGAGGCATCAAAGGGTAGTTCTTCTGTGTCTAAAACTATTCTGGATGAGAATTCGGAGTCGGCAATGCAGGAAAAACATGCTTACAGGAATCTGGATTTGGAGACCTGGGAAGATGGTGAGAGAATGTTGGAGAACATGACGTCAGGTTCATTTGATTCATCTGCTTATAATAGATCTGTTGAGATGAGCTCAAAGCCGTATCCTCCTAGAGAAGGCACTTCAAATACGATTGAAAGAGGAAAAGCTATTAATTCTTGGCGAAGGGAAATTTTTGAGAATGGCAGTAGCTTCCCTTCACCGCTACCTGACCAGGATATACGTCCTTTTAATCCAACCCGGGGTGTATTTGGTGGTAGTAGAGCACCCCAGCATAACGAGTTCCATGGAGGAGTTCCATCATCTAGGCCTTACTTGAAACCAGGGATGCAAGAGCCCTATCCAGATGAGTTTGGGTATCAAAAAGATCACAGGTGGAGCTTTCCTGGGAATGCTGATTCGTTTGGAAAATTTAAGGAGATGGACTCTGAGTTTGCAGATAAGTATGGTGATAGGGGGTGGGGGCAAGAATTCTCTCCCAGTGGTAACCATCCTCCATACCCTGAGCAGTTGTATCCACATTCTGAGGTGAATGACCTTTATTCCTATGGGAGGTCAAGGTATTCCATGAGGCAGCCCCGTGTTCTTCCTCCTCCACTTGCTTTGGCTCAAAGGAGTGGAGTTATTGACCGTACTGATCCTTCAACCCTCCAAGACAGCAGCATTCATTATACACAATCAGCAATGTCTGAATCAACTAGGCAGACAGCTTATGGCGGTAATAATCAAGGAGGCCATGAGGCATCTGAGATCTTTGGACTTGAGCAAGATAATGGTACTTCTGAAGAACTAAAGCTGAACAACGCATCAAGGTGTGATTCACAATCTTCACTCTCTGTTTCCAGCCCCCCAACTTCTCCACCTCATTTGTCCCATGATGAGCTGGATGAATCTGGGGAATCTCCTGTAATATCTGCTGCTGCAGAAGAGAGAATAAGTTTAATTCCTCCATCTGTTAACCACAATGATAATTCTGGAAATGGTGCTGCCACTGTTTCATCGGATTCAGTATCTGCTATTGAGGATGAAGAATGGGCTCTTGAGAATGATGACAGGATGCAGCAGCAAGAAGAGTATGATGAGGATGAAGATGGTTATAGAGAAGAGGATGAATTGCGAGAAGGGGATGAGGAAAACCTGGAGCTGAACCAAAAGTTTGATGAGCTTGAACTAAACAAAAGAGACCCACCACAACTGATGGACAATGTGGTCCTAGGTTTTGATGAGGGCGTTCAAGTTGTAATACCAAGTGATAGTTCAGAGAAAAATATAGTGATTCAAGACAGATCATATGGGGTACCTGCAAGTTCTACCGATGCTGTGGAAGAAAAAGGGCCTGCTGATGGGCTTCCTTGTGATGCACAATGTGTTCTACCCCCAGATGATACTTTGGGAACAGGTGTTAATATTTGTTCAGGCCCTGAAAAATCTGCACTGCACGGTACCATTGGACAGTCTGCTAATGCTCCTTATTCTTTGGCAGCTACTGATCGATTAGAACCCATTGATTCGTCTGGTGGTGTTGGTTTAAACGCCCAGCCTACCATTATGTCTTCTGTTGGTGCTACATCTGCATCTGGTCATACTAACCTGCCATCTTCCTCTTCTGGAAGTCAGGGTGATTTACCTGTTAAGCTTCAGTTTGGGCTTTTCACGGGTCCTTCTTTAATACCTTCTCCAGTCCCTGCTATACAGATTGGTTCCATACAGATGCCCCTTCACATCCATCCTCCTATTGGTCCATCCATAACTCACATGCCTCAATCACAGAGTCCGATGTTCCAATTTGGTCAGCTCCATTATACATCTCCGATATCACAGGGAATTTTGCCAATAGCCCCTCAAGCAATGGCTTTTACTCAGCCTAATGCGAGTGGTCATCTTGATCTGAATCAGAATGCTGGAGGCTCTGTGACTCATGAAGGTGCTCGAGATGCTTCTGCACAAAATGTTGCCCATGATAAGGTGCCGTCTGGTTCAATGAATAATCAGCCAAGTGTTATTTCTGCATCACCAAAGCAATCTAACGGAAACCTTTCCCAAGGACGTTGTACAGCTGTGGATACTAAAATTCACAAGGATAATACCGCTGCCAGTTCATCTTCTTCAGGTGGGACAAATGTTGGAAAAATAAAGTCAGACTATAGCACCCAGGCAGAAGAGAAAGGACATCATCATTCAGATTTGAAGAGTTACTCGGTGCCACTGAAGGCAAGGGGATTGGCACAATCAATGAGGCAACCTGTAGGTGGTGAGAAAAGCCTAGGTGGATCGTGCGGTGTGGGCCAATTATCTGGTGGTAGGGGGAAGAGATTTGCCTATGTGGTTAAAAATCCAAGCATGAGACCTTCATTCCAAGGTCAAGATATGCCAGCAGATCCAAATGGGGTTTTCAGAAGGCCTCGACGATTTGTTCAGCGAACTGAATTTCGAATCCGTGAGAACAATGATAGGAAACCGCCTGGCTTGGTTTCTTTTAATTATAGTGGCATAGATGACAAGTCTAACAATAGCATGGGAAAAGCTGTAGGAGCTTTTGCTAGAAGCGGATCTAAAAGGGGTGCAGTGTCTAACAGAACTATGAAGCAAAGCATTGAGACAGTACCCTCTGCTTCTGGAAATTCTAATCCTAGGGAGGGTTCTGGAGACAGGATTGCAAAAGAGTCCGCAAAAAAACTAACAAGTAGGACTCAGGATACTTCCCAAATGAACTTGAGAACTACTTCTGAGGAGGATGTTGATGCTCCCTTACAAAGTGGTGTGGTGCGTGTGTTTCAACAACCTGGTATAGAAGCTCCTAGTGATGAGGATGATTTTATTGAAGTCAGATCCAAACGGCAAATGCTGAATGATCGGCGGGAACAAAGGGAAAAAGAAAGCCAAGCCAAATCACGAACCACCAAGGTATAAATCCTTATTGGCAACTTTTTTCTAATGCATCTTTCCAATTGTGGCATTATTTAGTTTTTCAGTCATACTTTCTCTTTGTCCAAGGCAATTACCTTTTGCATTTGTCCCATAGCCACCACGCAGACAACTACGTTCCACGAGACCGAAAGATGTAGTTTCGAGAAGCCACAATAAGCTCTATGGTCCGAGTAGCAGTGAAGAATTAAGAAACTCTCAATTGGATTTTACTAAATCTGAGAGCAGCCCACATACTACCAACAAAGAAGGGTCAACAGGATTGAATACAACAGTTTCCCAGCCTCCAATTGGACCTCCTGCTATCAGTTCTGAACAGGCTACCAAGTAAATATTTTTGATAGAAAATATAATTTAAAGTTTATGCAACAAATATGACTAACTATTCATGTAAATTTACATTTGTTTGCAGGCTGAACCAGCCAGGCCCTGTATCCACTTTCTCTAATTGCAATACAGAAGGTGATCCTGCCCAAACATTTGACAGCAAAGATAAGGTAATGAATTGTGCCAAAATTTACAGTTTCTGTTTATAATTCTAGAAAACATACCCACTGGTATTATAATAAGCTTGAGCTTTATCTGTTGCTTGGAGAGCTATGTGATCTTTATTGAAAATGGATATTTTTATAAATTTTAAAGTTGAAATGAGAACTGATGTTTGAAGGTTAAATGAAAACCGAACTCAATATTGTATCTTAACATTATTGTTCGTTTCAGGATTGTGTGATGACACCATGAATATTGAATATTTTATGTTTTGTGTGAGTTATTTATTGTTATTATATACGTAAACTATTATTGTTTGAAGGGTCTTGTGATTTGAAATATATTAGCTAATTGATGGATTCTTAACCAATTTTGGAACAATTTTCTGCATGTACAATTTGCATCTGTGTGGTGTCAAAGTCTTATGGCTGCATGTCAGATTGGTCAAAAGTGGATCTGGTATCCACTTAGATTATTAGGATTTTTTTCCAAGAAAAATCAACATGGGAATTTTGGAGTTTGTTTGACTATAAGTTCTTCCATAAATAAATATGTATGTTTATTATGCTAGGTGGTGATGTCACTGAGCCAGACCCAATTTCCTGATACAATGAAGCCTGCTCAGTATGATATGCATGTTTCATCTGTTGGAGGTCATTCCAGCACACTTAGCGATCCAATCTTGCCAACTTCATCCAGTTTGCCAAAGGATAAATCATTCTCTTCTGGTGCAAGCACAATCAATTCCCTGCTCTCCGGACAAAAAATTCAATTCGGTAAGGTTATATTTTATGCTAACAGTCTTTTATTAAATTTTCACCCATCACAAAAGTTTACAATTTGTTCATCTCTGCAGGGGCTGTTACCTCTCCAACAGTCCTACCTGGTAGCCGCATTGTATCAAATGTGATTGGTTCTCCAGCACCCGCCCAATCTGATGTCCAAATGTTGCACAATTTTGAAAAAGACAGTACCCTTTTCTTCGAGAAAGAGAAACACCTGAGTGATTCCTGTGTTCCCATACAAGATTCTGAGGCCGAAGCAGAAGCAGCTGCTTCTGCTGTTGCTGTTGCAGCCATCAGCAGTGATGAGATAGTAGGGAATAGATTGGGCTCAGTTAATGACACCAAAAGTTTCGGCGGTGCCGACGCCAACGCTACAGGTAGAGTGGAAGTGTGATCTGATTTAAAGGAAGGAATGAGATTTAGAATATTTGGTTTACTTTTTTAAAATTGGACTGCATGTTTGCTTTGACAGGTGTCGTTGGAGATCAGCACTTGGAGAACCAATCAAGGGGTGAGGAGCTATTAACTGTTTCTCTTCCTGCAGATCTCTCTGTCGAGACAACACCGATATCCTTGTGGCCGCCCCTCCCAAGTCCCCAAAGTTCCTCAAGCCAGATGATTTCTCATTTCCCTGGAGGCGCACCTTCTCACTTCCCCTTCTATGAGATGAACCCATTGTTGGGGGGGCCAATATTTGCTTTCAGTCCGCAAGAGGAATCTTCTGGTGCACAATCGCAACCCCAATCCCAAAAGACTACGCCAACCAATTCTGCTCCTCTTGGTAATTGGCCTCAAAGCCATACTAGCATGGACTCATTTTATGGGCCCCCAGCTGGATATTCGGGTCCCTTTATTGGTCCCCCTAGAGGCATTCCTGGTGTTCAAGGGCCTCCCCACATGGTTGTCTATAATCACTTTGCTCCAGTCGGACAATATGGACAGGTTGGTTTGAGCTTTATGGGTGCCACTTACATACCTTCGGGAAAGCAAACTGATTGGAAAAACTCTCCAACTACTGCTGCTATGCCTATTAGCGAGGGTGATATCAGTAATGTGAAGGCTGCTAATGTGCAGCGAAATGCGCCGAATATGATGGGTCCCACTCAACAGCATCTTGCCCCTGGATCTCCACTCTTGCCCATACCCTCCCCTTTGCCCATGTTCGATGTTTCTCCATTCCAGGTATACCATCTTGCTTATTCCTTTCCATTAATGCTATGCACACCGCTTACTATCATATATTGATAACAGGAGTGTCTTGTGAATATATAAAAATTTAATTTTTAGAGTAATATGAAAAATAAGAAATAGGTGTTTGATTTTATGATTTATACGGATAGTAAAAGATCTTTAAAACCTCCCAAACAAATACAAATATGCAAGGCTGTTGGCTTTTGTGTTTCTTCGGCACCTACTAACTATTTGTTATAACATTGGTCATTTGTTTTTCCAGACTGCCCCTGATTTGTCTGTCCAAGCCCACTGGGGTCGTATTCCTCCTCCACTGCATCATTCTGTTCCCGTCTCTCGACCATTGCAGCCACAAGTGGAAAATGCTCTGCCTTCTCAAGTCAGCCGCGTACATTCCATTGACCAGTCGCTACACGCCAATAGGTTTACTGATTCTCGAACTCCAACACCATCAGATAATGGCCCAAGTTTTTCCATTCCTGCAGATAAAAATGTCGCCCCGCCTCCTCCTGAGCTAGGATTGGTGGATCCATTGAGGTCCGCCCCATCTTCATCTGCCCCGACTGTTCCAATTCAAACCTCTTCTGGTAACCCCAACCCTGAGTTGGGCAAGACTGACACAACTGAGAACGGCAAACACCAGAATACTAGCTCTGCGAGATCTCAGTTTTCTCAGAGGAATACATCCAGCCGACAGGGTAATACTTCCGGCTACAGATACAGCCAAAGAGGCGGAATGTCTCAGAGGAACAACACGGGGGGCGAATGGTCTCAGCGAAGGTTGGGTTTCCATGGGAGGAACCAGGGCCTTCCTGGGTCGAAGATGAAACAGATTTATGTGGCTAAACAGACGACTACTGTCAATCCCAATCCCAATACCTGAACCCAACCATAACCATCCTGCTATTATGCCAAAGTTTGGTATTTCTACCTATATGATCTATCTTTCGACAAATAACACCTGGATTTGGGTGCTTCCCTTGCGATTGATCGATGGGGCTTCTTCGCCGGGGATCTTTTTTGGAGGCTATATATATTATATTTATTGTGTTGAAGACTAATGGAAAAGCTTTGTCAGGTATCTTTTTGGTGCCCTTATTTATTATCGTATCTATCTTGCTGCAGACTTGTTTTCTTACTAGTGTCGGTGTAGTTGGTTGGTTGATTCGTTCTTGTTCGATGATTGCGAATGAATTGCACTGTGAAAGTGTTTATTCTCTGTCTCTCTACCTAATCTAGTGCAACAACCTGAAAGTTTTGTATGTTTGTTTTAAAACGACTTGGTTTAATGATTGTTTGTTTTGGATGCTCAATGAATTTTGAGAAGTTGCATGTTTTTGATCAACTCATTCTTTGTCTTGTTTCATCTCTATTCTAATGTTGACAAGGAACTGTTTTGTTTCTTTGGAGGTGTGAATTTTAAACATTACTATTTGATTTGATGTGATGCTTGTAACAAAATATATGCTACATATTTTTAGTACAAAAAGATATAAAATGACATACATATAGCTATTATTAGTATATTACTCATTCCATGTCAGGTGCAATATTTTGATTATGGTATGAGAATTTAGGTAGGTAGAATAAAGTGAAATTACCGGATGAGATTAGAGAGAAGAGTGGATAATATATTTATATATATATTTTTTTTTATTTAAGTGGTGCGATGGGATAAAACTTAATTAATTTTATTTTTTTATTTTTGAAAATGTTGCTAAGGTATGTGGGGGGGGGGGGGGTATCAGATACAACTGCTAAAAAGATTGATACTTTGGGATATAACAAAAATGGAAAATTCTAAGTATAAACATTTGTGTAGAAACTAATAAGTAACACACCTTTAGGATTTGTTTTTTCTACGTTTTGCTTTTAGTACAGTACTATTTATTGATTTGTTTATGTTCATTTTTTATTTAATACTACTATATTATAAAGTTTTTATTCAAAATGCATATCAAATATTATTTCAACTTAAAATGAAATGATTAATATTACTTGCTCCACTCAATTCATTTGCTAGATTTGGTTTATGTATTGTTTTGTAAAGTTTACCTGTTTATTTATTTTGTGTGCATATAATATTATAAAAATGTTTTATATATTAATAAATATGGTATATAGAATGGCAAAAGCAAAAAAAAAAAAAAAGAAGATATTGTGTATGTATAATGTATTAGAGAAAATAGAAAAATATTTAGACAGAGTATCTATTAAATTTATTTAAGTACTTAGAATTATTAAGAAAAAGAACTCAAACTTTGGCTAATGTAAAATATTTGGTGGGAAACAAGAAATGGACGAATGTGACTTTTGAATTCTGTATAAATAATAAAAAAAAGAATAAAACACCAATGGCGATTGGAAGGAAAACCCATTTGATCTTCCCTCTTTTCCACCCGCCACGTGGCGTGCAGGCAATGGTCAATGACAAACTCCGCCGCCGCTCTCTCCGGCAGCGGCGGCGACCGTCATCCACCTACCGCCGCCGCCGTCGTCCTCCACGCTTCTCTTCACTTCCTTCTTTGGGAAATCAGAGACCACACTACACTCCTTTCTCTTCTTCTTCACCACCACTCCAAATAACTTCATACACTTGTCTTTTTCGTCATCATCTCCGGCAGCTGCCCCCGCCCCATCAAAGTTCATGATGTGGCTGATCTTCTCCGGCGCCACCTTCAAGCACTGAGTCAAAAACTCAATCAGTTCATCGCACTGTTTCTTCATTCCGGCGATCTCTGAGCTCAGCATCTCGTTGTCTTGCCTCAGCTTCTCGTTCTCGCCGGAGAGGTCGGCGATTTGCGCCTGCTGCACTGCTCCTATTGGGCTTCGGGTCGGAGACGAGGTCGAGCTCGACCCCAACTCTTCGCCGGAGGTTTCTGGAAGAGAATTCTGATTGGGTGTTGGATTCTGTGTTTTCCGACGCCGGATCAGTAGCAGGAGCTCCTTCTGCCCTCGCCGGAAGTTTTCGTTGGCGAATTCCCATTTGTTCGGCACCGTCTTCCGAAAGCCCTAACGCAAAAATATTACATTTAACAATTAATAAATTTAAAATTTCAGAATGTGATACACATAGTGTTACATCATAACATCATAACGAGTATCTATAATAATTCAAATCAAATACAGTTGATTGAACTAAAAAATAGGTCAAACAATCAATATTTCTCAAACACTTTCTACTACGACATTCAAGACAAGATCATTATTATCTCGGAAATTTGATACGATATGATACCATATCAAACTTTTTTGGTACAATAAGATACGAAGTTTGAGATTTTCATTATAGTATTCGATATATTTATATATATAAATAACTAGGTATATTAATACCAAAATTATTATTTTTAATTTTGATATTTCGACATGATTGAGTATATAGCTATACCATACTTAGACCAAATCTTCAGTATAATATTACTTCTTCAGTCAGTTAAAATAGCCCATTAGGATCCGACACGCAAGTTAAGAAAAATAAATATTTATTAAGAAATATAGAAAAATAAAAAAGTAATAGATGGTATTATTTTGTAAAAGTTCATCATAATTAAAGAGGATTAAAAGAGAAATATAATAAAAATAGTGACAATTGTAGTAAATAAATATTGAATAGAAAGTAACATTTAAATATTAAAAGATGAAAAGAAAAAAAAAGGAGTAAATTTGGCAGAAGGATATAATAATACTCCCATGTATTTGTGATACTAAATTTTTGGTACCATATTACTAATTCTTTTTTAACATACAGTAAAATTCAGTATAATATATATATATATTTCGTATACAGTATTGAAGTATCCATGAAGACATTGACTATGACAATGATACACATCCATAAATCAGAATTCATCACCTAATTCATAAATAACTCTAAATTTATCAATCTTCAATAAGTAACACTTTTACTTATTTATATACTTCTAAAAATTTTAATGTTGCTAATTTTTCAAAAAATATTTATAATATATTCATATTCACAAAATATCATAATAAATATTTAACTTACAAATATTTCCACAAACTTTCAAAATTAATGTATAAACACAAGCCTATAACTCCACCGCAGTCAAATTAGACCAACACAATTCACACACACACACAAAAAAAAATGTCTGTAACGAACAACTCGTCAATTAACTATATGAATTAATAATAAATAAACGATTTAATGAACGTGTGTTTACTAGAAAATTGGGATTCTAATTGAAAGTCATAAAAAATTAATTTAAATTAATTATTAAATTTAATACTTCTGTCGTAACAAATATTCATTTTTCCATTTTAATCCTCCCATAACAAAATATCTATTTTTCCATTTTAGTTTTTCCATAACACATTTCCCCTTCAGTAACTGTACAATCTACCTAATATTACAAATACCCTTACAACTTACAATATATTACACAAATATCATTCCTTTATATCACACATACTAACAATGTTATTTTAGTCATTTATACTTTATTTCTACTATATCCCAATATAATACTAATATTTTTAAAACTACGTGCAAAAAGCAAATGAATACTTAGTTTCAAGACAGAGGGAGTATATATATTTAGGTGGAATCCCACAAACATTAGTTGCGTAAAAAAAACAATTAAAATGAATTAAACGTAAAATAAACCGTCAAACTACAATTGTTTAAAAAAATTAATTACTACGATTTGGTAGACTACTAGACATAAATAAATAATTAAATGATATGCTAAATAATCAAAAGTCTTAAGTTTTTACTAAATAAAAATATAGTCAAAAGAGCATGCAATCTGGGTTGGGGCGTGTTTAGATGCGATTTAGCATTTTTCAAAAAAAGTAAGCAATTTTTTATTATTAATTTTTAATTTTGGAAAATAAAATATTAAAATTCAAATAAGCACACCCAATACTAAAACCAGCCGAAGTATTGGGTGGCGCATTTTGTGTGGGCATATAAAAGTCGGAAAATAAAAAGACGCTTACTTTACCGTTTTCTCAACTTTAAAACACGTTTCTGGCTTAGGTTCAACGCAGTCTACAATCGTCAAAATTTTCTAATTTTGAAAAAGAAATAAATAAATTAAATTAAATTTACGAAATTCATCTTCTTCTAGAAGCTCTTAGAAAGAAAAATGTTCTCTCAGAGAAACTGGAAACTGTTCGGAGAAATTTTCCGATCAATTTCCGATCTACGAACGAACTGACTGACGAAGAAAAGTATAAATGATTCGAACGAAAACAATGGAAGACGAAGATAAACGATGAGTGATGACAGTAAACGTAGAATGAATTTCGGAGATGGAGGAGGAGGAAGCTTACGTAGGTGTTGAGCTGGCGGACGAAGCTGGAGAAATTGTTGTGTTTGAAGTATTTCGGCAGCAAATCCTTTGCGAAATCCGCCGTTTTCCAGACGACGAACGCCGCGCCGTCGTCGTTCCACGAGATCACGTCGTCGATCGCCGGATCGTCGACCAGATGATACGTCTTCATCAGAAACGGCGCCGGAGCCGACCTCTGCGCCATCCTATCGCCAAATCCCCAAATAAAATTTGAAAACCTAAATTTAACCTAAAAAAATAAAGCGAAGAACCAAAACAATCGAATCGATCAGTAGCAACTGAAGAGGAGGAGCGCGGTTAGGAATTCCCAGCCCCAACAGTAGAATCCGAAGAGGAAGACGCGGTGGTTGTCCATGGATTCCGTCATCTGAGGCGGCGGCGATCGGCCATCATATATATATGTATATATATTCTCGCACCGATTATACTCCTTCCAGAGACGAATTTAAATAAATTGATGTAATTGGAAGGCGGAGCAGAGAAAGCGACGGAGGTGTTCTAGAAAGGAGATTAAAAGCGACGCGACGCACACTTTTCAAACTGACCCTAAGAATTTTGGGGACGATTCTTCCTTCATTTTCTTATTCTCATTCGCCGTTACTACGTCAGAAATGTACTGCTCCTTCTGCAATTATTTAACCTTTATTTATTTACCTAAGATTTATTTGCTCAACCATTTTTTTTTTAATAATATAATTCTCACAATATATATATAATATTATATTTACTCAATTCGACTTAATTATGTTATTTTGTTTAAATACAAAAATTAAAAAATAATAATGTTTGAATGTAAAAAAATATATATTATAAAATTTATTAAAAATATATGATAAATATAAAAATTAATAACAACTTGGTTATTTATTTATTAAAATGGAGATAATTGAAATATAGATAAATAAATGGAAACTGCAAAGAAACTTTGGTGAAATGAAATGTAAATTCGGGAGAAATTCAGATGAATCCTTTTTGTTGTTGAATTTGGATGTTTAACCCTCAATAGTGCAACATAAAGTATTCTATGGCAAAATACATGATTCAATCAGTATAATCCGACATTTTCTAAGTGTTTGATTTTGACTTTTGTCAATAGTCACTGCAAATTAGGGTTTCATTGAAAATTGTCTTTTTTTTCGTCTAAACAAATATTTCACTTGTATTTTACGATATGTTATGTGATATTAGCGCGTCTTTTTCTGTATTTGAACCACTCATAATTTGTGTCGACAAAACTTTGTTGCCTAACTTGGTTATTATAAGTCGGGTTCTATTGCAAATACACAATTATTGATTGATAAGAATTACCGGCATGTCTTTCTTCAGTTCTAAACAGTGACTTGACTAATTCGAAAATATTTATAATATTCAACGATTCCTAGTGATGTTTTGTATCTTTTGCTTAACGAAAAATTCTCATTTGTAAGATTTTATTTGGTTTTGATTTAAAATTGATTGTTGATTTTAATTTTTATTTAAATAATATTTTGATATAATATTTTATAAAAATAGAATCATGGATTGTTATTGCAACTGTGTTCACATCATAAATGCGTAATATTGATTTAAAATAGTAAAAAAACAAACTCTAAAAAAAGAACAAATATTTTATATGATTTTTTTTTGAGAAAAATATTAATTTAATAGTAAATTTTTTCTAAAATAATTCAAATGTATACAACCATAATATAAACGAAATCTAAAATAAAAATCTGAGACAACAATAAATAAAATTCAAAATAACAAACAAAATTACTGTATACAAATGACTGCCAGTTCTTGGCATTTTACGGAGTTACAGTTACCACCTGCCTCCACCCATTCTCCAACCCTTACAAAATTCCAAATTCTTAGCCCTAAGCACAACGATATATGCAGACGGACGAATCATCACGATGTTCAGCAAAGTGATGAACAATCGAAATCAAACAAACAGTACAGAAATTGGAGTCAAATCAATATGTTGAATCTGAGGAGGTCACGGAAGAACAACAGTGGCGTCGAATTAGGAATTAAGATGATGATAGGTTGCTGTTTGGCTCACCTTGTTTCGATTTGGGGAAAAATGGAGTTTGGATCGATCAGCTCGGAGATTGCCGGACGGCGCAGGCCACCACTTGCGCCCATTGCTTCAGCCTTGTTTTAACCGTCTCTGGATTGTCTCCTGAAACAGAAACCCTAATTAGATCCCCAATTTTGAATGAAATCCCCAAATTGAACCGATTGACTCGATCTATGGCGGAATTGAGGTTTATTGGACGGTTCAGAGCAGTTACCCGGCCCGAAAATGGTGTGCGGGCTGCCGACGGGAGACGGCGACGGCCATGGAGGTTTCGAAGCGGCGTCGCTGTACTGTTTGTTGACGGCGTAGTAGAGGCCGTACGCCGGGAAAGTGTCGGACAACCGCTGGTCGATTTCGGGCGAATCGAAGCCGAAACCAAATCCGAGCTCTATACAGGCCTTGATTTCGTCCAGATCTTCGTCGGTGACGCTCCTGCTCCGCCGATCGCGGCGGTTCCTCTGCCGCTGCCACGCCTCTTCGCGGAGGGAGTCGGGGGACCAGGAGTTCTGTTTGTACAAGGAGGACGTCGCCCGAGGTGGACCGGGCGGCGTCGGTGTTTGAGGCGATGGACGAGGTGGAAGAGACATAATGCAGGCCGGCGGCGGCGGAGACGGTGGATGCCAACCCCTACGGCGGGGGAAGGCGGTGTTGCTTAAGAAATGGAATTGCCTTGCGGTTTGGGTGTATGCATTTTAATATTACTACTACTACTACTTCTGCATTTATTTATGTTTATTATTTTAATAAATAGTGGGCCCCATCGGGCAGCAGCGGTTGACCCCAGCCAATGATGCCATGCTCTTAAGTTGATTAATTTAAGAGTAAAAATTATTTTTGGTCCCATTGAATATCAAAATTATTAATTTTGGTCCAATTAAAAAAGAATTATCAATTTTAGTTTCACTCAAATGAAAATTTATCAATTTTAGTCCCAAAATAGTTGATCGAGACTGAATACGGCCGTGTTGTCTTGAACACGGCCGTGTTGATTACCCTGCACTTCTGAACACGGCCGTGTTTCTGCCCGTGTTCTGAACACAGCCATATTTCTGCCCGTGTTCTGAACACAGCCATATTTCTGCCCATGTTCTCAACACAGACATGTTCAAGGTCATGTTCCTGCCCATGTTCTCAACACAGCCATGTTCTAGGCCAGGTTCACGACCATGTTTTCAATATAATCATATTGTAGGTCATATTTATTATTATTTTCACTTTTTGGTTAAAATTATTTGATATATATTTATAATTTAACAAAAATATTTTTTACAATTATTTTATAAAATAATCAATTTTTAATATTTTTAAAATATATAAAAATAATAATATATTAATATATTTTTTAATGATACTCCCTCCGTCCCACTTACCATGTCCACATTGCCGTTTATATCCGTCCCATATCCCATGTCACTTTTCTTTTTTTGGAAAATAATTACACACTATTTTTTTAATTTAATTTTAATTATAATTAAACTAATGAATTATTTTAATCTTAATTTATAATTATTTATATTATATGATAATTATTTTTACTAATATATTCTTAATTATCTATTAATTATACTTATGCTAAATTCTCGTGTCTACAGTGACCCAGATATCAACGTGGGATGTAGGGAATATTATTTTAAAATATTATTACTTTTATATATTTTAAAAATATTAAAAATTGATTATTTTTATATTATAAAATAATTATAAAAAATATTCTTGTTAAATTATAAATATATATCAAATAATTTTAACCAAAAAGTGATAAAAATAATAAATATGATCTACAATATGATTATATTGAAAACATGGTCGTGAACATGGCCTAGAACATGGCTGTGTTGAGAACATGGGCAGGAACATGACCTAGAACATGGCTGTGTTGAGAACATGGGCAGAAACATAGCTGTGTTCAGAACACGAGCGGAAACACGGGCAGGAACACGACCGTGTTCAGAAGTGCAGGGTAATCAACACGGCTGTGTTGGCTGCCTGGGACGCCCAATCACCTTCTGAGTCATCCAACACGACCGTGTTCAAGCAAACACGGCCGTGTTTAGTCATAATCAACCATTTTGAGACTAAAATTGATAAATTTTCATTTGAATAGGACTAAAATTGATAATTTGTTTTGAATGAGACCAAAATTAATAATTTTGATAGTGAATGGGACCAAAAATGATTTTTACTCTTGATTTAATTTAATTGAATTTTATATTTAAAATTTATTTTGTAATAAAAGTAAAGGGAAATTATATAACACCTTGACTTTTTAAGTAAAAATGCATGAAATATCTAACATTTTATTATTACTTAAAATTTTTTTTGTGTTAAATATAAAGTTTGTATGAAATTATTTTTTGTCCAAAATTGTATTTGATTGTAAATATGAATATAATAATACAAAGTTTTATATAAGATATTTTTTATTTTATAAACCTTACGTAATTTAAGGTTTTGTTTAAAATTAAACATTAATTTTAGACAAAAATGATGTTTTGTACAAATTTTACATTAAAATGAAATTTCACGCAATACATAAAACGCATTATAGTTTTGTGCATTTTTATTAAACACACTGAAGTATTGTATAATTTACGATGAAAATAATGATTTAATTTTTAGTATATGATACTCTTTGCTTTATCCAAATTTTCTCTATTTTTTTTGTTATGTAAATTGATTTCTGTTTTATTTCTTTTAAGTAAAAAAGTACTTCGTTTGTCGGAAAATAATAGAGATATTTGAGATAGACAGAAAAATTAAGAAATAATAATATTATATTAATAATGAGTGTAATTTCTTTTTTAAAAAACCAAAATATTTATATTTTATGTAATTGTTGTGAAAAAGTGAAAATAGTTTTGTAAAAATATGAAAAGTTAGTTATAAAAATAGAAATAAGACAATTATTTTGAGATAAAAAAAATGAAAAAATAAAATTATTGTTCTGGCGGATAAAATATTACTTTTTCTATTTTTATTTTACCCTAAAAAATATATATATTTTTATTTTTATCTAATTTTAAACAAATTTGTTTTCGATCTAATGAGCACAATTTAATAACAGTGAAAATTAATTTATATAAGTTTACGTGTTAAATTAATTGAAAAGATTTTTGGAAAGTTTTGGGAATATTAAAAATAATATTTAATATAATATTTTAGAAAAAATTAATGTTTATATTTTGGAAAAAATATTATTGACAAATAGTAGTATTAAAATATTAGGGTGTGTTTGTTTGGGGTTTGAATTTTGAGTTGAAATTTGAATAATAAAAATTTTGAATTTGAATAGTTGTCTGATGTGATATAAATAAATGTTGATGTGATGTTTTGAATATAAAATTAATTTTTATTATAATATAAAAAATAAAGAAGTAATATTCGATTTAATATTTTAAAAAAATTAAAAAAATAAAATAAAATTTTAAAATCCAATCGCCAAATAAACACACAGAAAATGTACGTATGTAAAGTGTAGACATAATTGATTTTTTTTTCTGGCAATATGATTAGCACTTCACTTTTCTTTTATATAAAGAATTTCAATTTTCTTGTACGGAATGGCTTTAATTTCTCATCCAACCGCGTTTAAGACAATAAGTGGGTCTTGTATAATAAACTGAAAATAATAAGTGAATTGTTTTTTAGGCTTAGTTTTATTTTATTTTTATTATACAATAATTAAAATTTTATATAAAAATATAACCACTTATATATATATACTCTTTCCGTACCTTAACAATCTATCCATTTTTTCATTTTGGTCCGTCCCATAACAAAGTATCCGTTCCCTTTTTTAGTAATTGTACTATCTACCTAACATTACAAATATCCTTCTAATTTACAATATATTACACAAATGTCATTACCTTTATATCATACAGGGTTAATTTAGTTTTTTTTACATTTATTTCTACTTTATCCAAATATAATACTAATATTCCTAAAATCCTGTGTATAAACAAAATGGATAGATAAATTGTGGACAGAGGGAGTATTTTTTAAGGGATGACGTAATGGTGGAGGAGTTGGACTTGTGACCATGAGGTCGTGGTATATTAGGTTCGATCAGGATTTATCCCGTGCACATTTTCGGTAGCGAATGCGGGTTTCCACATTATATATATAAAAAAAAAAGATGGACATTTTTTTTTACACAATATGATACTATAATATATATTCTGAGTTCAAATTTGAACACCTTCAGATTTTGTCTATAACATATTCAACTGGGAATTTACACGGGCACAAAAAAAAAGACTCTGTATTATAAAAAAAAAGTAAAAAAAAATATATATTCTAATAATACATTATATAATTTCATATTACAATATATTATTAATTTCAATATAATATATATTTTATATAATTCAATAAACTAATAACATATGTTTCTATAATATACGTAGTATAAAAGAATGTATTATTTTTCTTATAAGTCAGCAAATTAAATACTGTGAAAATATGTTACTTTTGCATAAGATATTATATTGTATGAAATTATTAGTATATAATATGAAAAGAAAAAGTTAAAATAACTTTATTCTTTAAAATTAGAAGCCCGTGACAAAAAATAGCGAAATATAGGTAACTAAAACAACAAAAAGTCGTAAATACCCTTATCCGTAACAGTTAAAGTTAACCTATTTTTATCAACAAAATTTCAATAAAATAATTATTGCACTGCTTACTATTTATGATAATAGTTACGCATCGTGGAGAGAGTAATTGACAATAATACCCTCACGTTCAATCTTCTAGAGTTCACTAAAATCGCTGTTTGTTTTTTTCATACTTCGGATTCTGTGAGGATCAAGAAATTTCTGCAGTCTAGGGTTTTCTGAAGGGGATCGATAATCAAATTCGGCCCGGAATTTGATCGGAGTGGGTGCGCAATCGATCGGAGGAATATGTGGCATGAGGCGCGGAGGTCGGAGAGGAAGGTGCACGACATGATGGACGCTGCTCGGAAGCGCGCTCAGCGCCGGGCAATATACCTCGCCAAGAGGCGCGGCGATCCCCAGCAGTCGATACAAGCAATTGGATCTCGATGCCGCATCCACCGCGATGACGCTCTCTACCAAGCCACGCAGGATCAGCAGGGCCTGTATGATTGAACCTTTCTTGCATTTTATCCGCTTTACCTTCTGGTTTTTTATGGATTTTTTTAGGCTTACTGAGTGCTTTGTAAACGGTGGTGACATTTTTTGGAGATGTGTATATTCTATTGACTTGCTAAATTGCTTATCTGTGTTTTAGAAGGATACGGCAAAGTTCAATGTTAATTTAATTAATTGCTAAATGACCTCGGGCGTATGTGATTTTTTATGCATCTTTTTGCACCCTATTCTTGTTCTAACATATTCAAAGTGTTACTATAATTTTTGTATAACGGAGCCTTTTATCATTGGGAATTTGGATGCTGTAATTAATGGGAAGGATTCAAAATTAAGTTTAATTTTCTATTATTCTGAATTCTAATTTGTGGAGAAGATGAATTTGTATTGGCTAGAGAAAATGCTACAGGAGTCTTGGCTTTCTTTCTTATCCATAAATTTGTCTATGTCTTACCTGTTTATGCTGTTCTTTGTGGACATCTCAACATTTTATAATGTATGGGTTTTATCCACAACTATGCGCCTTCGCATGAGTTGTACCCTCACCAAACATGAGAGCTGAATATTTTGGTTTGGTTCAGGATACCGTGGAATGGGAAGCAGGATGTGTTGATTGACAGGTAATGATAATTCTCACATTTTGATTAATATTGCAGTTGTAAGTCTTCAGTTGGACATTGAAGAAAGCTTAAAGGGTTGCAGTTGTTGGCATTGTTATTGATTCCGTAATTCTTTTGCAGATTTGATGGCCGCGCTCTACTAGACTTTATTCGAGATAGTAGTTCACGTCGATTTCGGGTTCCAGAGAAAACTGAGGAAGAGGAAGAGTTAGAAGAATTTGTTAATTTTGAGCGTTACCGGGATTTAATTAAGCATCGGCGCAGAGGATGTCGGTACTTTTTGGTTTTTTACAATATTCTATTTTCTTTACTGTGTGTCAAGTATCCTTTTTAGGTAACAGGAGTGCTGTCTTGTCTCCACGGACAGTGATGGGTTTCTTAGCTGCATGTGGAATTTCGAATTTCTTTTGTAACACTAACAACAATTTTGCAGTTACTGATGAGGATGGCTTACAGTATGTTGACCAAGAGATGGAAGCTAAGATAACAGCAGCCCTGGGAGCAGACAGGTACAAATATTTTTATTACATTCTCTATTTATGAATCTCTTGCGTCAAATATCATGTATTTATTTACGAAAAATTGGATGTGCACATATTTCAAAATGTTGTTCGATGCGAAATAATTTTAAAGATAAATAAATATTGTATGATAATATTACATCATTATCGTTTAGTTTTTTCTGTTTTCAAGTTTTATTTGTCATGCCAATTACCCTATTTTCTATCTATAGCCATTCATTTTTCTTTCTAGGTGACGATTCTTTAGCATTTGCTTATTACTTTGTCACCGGACCTTTTATATTGACTCGTAATATTGACAACTGTAATGACAGCAGACCTCATGTGGCGCAACCTCAACCAAATAAGGGGTTATATTCTCAAGTTGGTTTCTCATATGATGGAGATGGACACGATGATCAAGGTTCTGATGGTGAGGAAGAGGATGAAGAAGATGAGGAAGAGGAAGAAGATTTTAACAGTGATGACAGTAATGATGAAGCAATGGAATCAATTGCCAAAGATTTTGGTGTGAGGAGATATGGGTGGCTGGTATATATGGATAAAAAGGCTAAAGAGGAGGCTCGAAAACAGAAAGAAGTTATAAAAGGCGACCCTTCTATTGTAAGCTTTCTTTGGTTTTAGATGGAAATTATTGCTGAAGTAGTGTTACGCAATTGACATGCTCTTCGCATATGTCAATTGCAGCGGAAACTGAGCCGCAAGGAAAGAAGGAAGGCCTCGCAGATGGAAAGGGAAAGGGAAAGAGAAGCTGCCCGAGTTACTGGAACTAGAGTTCTTCGCCATGATCCTTACCGGTAGCTGCAATCAATCTATACCTTTTCTCTATTTGCTATGGGTGTTTTCACTTTTTAAGGATAGAATTGGATTATTTAATCATGGTTTAAGGATTAGTTTGTCCCATCTATGAAATACAATAGGATAATTATACAAATTAGTATAATAATTACGGGTTGAGGATAATAACGGATTTTAATCCTTCAAAGTAAATATGTGATTAGATGTTTATCCACCATAATCATATATAGTAAAAAACACCTGTTCACATGGAAATTTGGGGCTTGAATAGTTCAATCTTGTTATTTTTCAGGGATTCTAGGAGAAGCCCTACTTATGAAGCTTACCCACGTTCTAGAAGGTAAATATTTGGCAGCTTTTACGATTTTACCTCAGATGCAAATGGGGTTGGTTGGTGAATGATGTGAGTTACCAACAATTTTCTTGTGTAGGTCAAGATCGAAATCTCGATCTCGCTCTCCACAATCCAGGCGCTATTCACGTGGAGTTCAGCCTGATGATGCCCATCGAAGCAAGGATAGTACTCCTCAGATTGAATATATTACTGAATTTGGGGGATCCGGTGATGGGGATGGACCAAAGCTCGAAGGATATTCTCCACCTCCATCTCCTCCATCCCAAGTTGCTGCATTGAATCGGTCAGAGCATCCAGCCTTTAACGCTAGATTAAATCGTCTTTACCCTGCTCCTAATTGGCCTCCATTTTTGTATTGGGGACCAATTTCGTGGTTTATAGCCGATCTTTTTCTAGGTTACAACCATGGTTGCCGGGGGATGAAGAACCTTCCTTTGGAAGCTCTTTATCCTAGAGTTGGACATCATTTGACCACATGGAAGCTGCTGTTGTCTGTTTAAAGTTTGTATCTGATGCTTCTACGTTTGTGCAGGCCATCATCTGGTCGAATACTTGAGGCCCTCCATGTAGACCCCGCCTCTGGAGTATCCCTTGATAAAGATAGAACCACTGCACAATTGAAAACACCAACTAGGTGAAATTTATGCCAAATTCAGTAAATTGTGTCAGGTATTTGCTCGACAAAGTTTTTAAAAATTTATTAGTGTTGGCAGTGCTTCCTCGGCATTAGCGAAATTGAGCAAAGGTGCCAGCAGTGGGAATTTCTCTAAGCAACCGGGCGAGAAGAAGGAAACACCTCAAGAACGCCTTAAACGGATCATGAACAAACAACTAAACAAACAAAGTATAGATTTTTTGTGAAATTGATTCTTGAAGAGAAGCTCTCAATCACCATCATACGGTCGAATAGTTGTGAAAAAACAGAATGAGAAATAGATGTTTCTCCCTTAAGTTTGTTTGTCCGTAGTTTGCTTGGTCCCATACATAATGGTTTTTGTTTCTGCACTCTCTTCGTTGCAGTTAAGAAAGACACGGCAATAGAAATGGCCAAGAAACGAGAGCAAGAGCGGCAGAGGCTTGAGAAACTCACTGAAACAAGCCGATTTGGTCGGCGACGGAGTCGCAGCCGAAGTAGAAGTTACAGCCGCTCTCCTAGGTATGTCTGTTTCTTATCCTGTCTTGATTGAGTTTGGAAGTTTGGATCTTTTATTTAAATAATATTTAATACTCCCTCCGTCTATAAATGATACAATTTTCTATTTTCGTACTCTCAAAACAAGGGTACTATTTTTTAATTTAGTAATTATACTACCTATCTAACATAATAAATACCTTTATAATTTACAATATATTACACATACATTTTTGTCTTTTTTTACTAATTCTATTTGTTGTACTAATATTAAAAAATTTCTTGCAAAAGCAAATGGAGCTCTTGTTGCGACATGGAGGTAGTATGGTATTTTATGAAATGAAACATAGCAAAAAATATAAAACAGTTGTTTCTGTTCGGTGCTACTTTCTGCATGTGTTTCTTCATCGAATGTTAATCGATTTTAGTCATATTTGGGCTTAATTTAAAAAAGTATATTTGTTTTCAGACGGTACAGGGGCGGCAGCCGAAGCCCGAGCCCGAGCAGGAGCCGTAGAAGCTCACGAAGATATGGCTCCCGGTCTTGGTCTCGTTCTCGCTCTCCGTCTCCCGCCAGATCTCCATCCCCACGGTAGTATATGATGTTCATTAAGTTTGTAGCTACCGGATTCTTTTTAACACATTTTATGGCTGCAGGGGAACTAGACGGTCGAGGCATTAAACAGCGATGGCGTCACCCTATAGAAAATTTGGCTCGGCTCGGCTCAGTTCAGCTCAGCTTGGTAGAAAGAGGGAAGAATATGATTGTTGTTTGGATGTGTTGTTTTCTTGCAGTATGAACATACTTCACCTGCTCTGTGTTTGCTTGCTATTATTACAAGGCTAGGCTATTTCTTGTCGTTTGTCTCCCAATCTTTTAATGGTCATTTAAAAAAGAAAAAGGTGATATTTTAGTAATTTTGCTATTTATTAAATATTATAAATATTTTTACAATTTATAATATTATATATTTTGGTTTTCTTAATGGATGTATACTACATATAAATGTAGTAATAATATTTGAAAAGTTTATCTACAAAAGATAATTATATATTTTCTTTTGACATGGAGGGAGTATAAATATATATATATATATATTTTCGAGTTAAAGGGTTTGTTTGGTTTGAGTGTGAAATATAATACAAATTATTATAGATTAAGATTAATAAATAATTTAATTAAAATTTAAAAATTATAAATTATGAAAATTCAAATATAATTAAAGTATATTGTGGACAAAAAATTGTGTTATTTTTAATAAACATAAAATTTGTACAAATTATATTTAATTTGAATTTAAAGTGGGTTATATTATCTAAATGAATTATTTGATTCTCCTTTCGGGTCGATTTGTTTTTCAACTTGGTTTTCTATGGCCTCTTTTATCCGAAGAGATTTGGTCTTCGGTTTGATTCTGCCGGACTTTGAAGGACTTTGGTCTCCGTGTAGGCAATTTGATCGTCAGCTTTGGATTTGATGTCTTTTTTGGACGATCCGAGGCTTTGATCTTTGATTTGATTTGGCCGCCTTTTGGAGGGCTTTGGTCTCCGTGTAGGCAATTTGATCATCGACTTTGGATTTTTGTCCTCTTTAGACGATCCGCAGCTTTGATTTTTGGTTTGCCTTTTCCGCCTTTTGAAGAGTTTCGGTCTTCGTGTGGACGACTTGATCATTAACTTTGGATTTGATGTCTTCTTTGGACGATCTGCGGCTTTGATCATTGGTTTGGCTTTGCCGCCTTTTGGAGAGATTTGGTCTCCGTGTGAGCGATTTGGTCATCTGCTTTGGATTTGGTGTCTTCTTTGGACGATCCGCGGCTTTGATCTTTGATTTGCCTTTTCCGCCTTTTGGAGAGCTTCGGTCTCCGTGTGGGCGATTTGATCATCGGCTTTGACTGGATGTCTTCTTTGGACGGTTCGAGACTTTAATATTTGATTTAGCTTTTCCGCCTTTTGGAGGGCTTTGGTCTCCGTGTGGACGATTTGGTCGTCGGCTTTGGATTTGATGTCTTCTTTGGACGATCCGTGGTTTTGATCTTTTGTTTGGCTTTGCCGCCTTTTGGAGAGCTTTGGTCTCCGTGTTGGCGATTCGATCGTCGGCTTTGGATTTGATGTCTTCTTTGGACGATCCGAGACTTTGATCTTTGGTATGACTTTTCCGCTTTTAGAGGATTTTGGTCTCCGTGTGGGCGATTAGATCATCGTCTTTGAATTTGATGTCTTCTTTGAACAATCCGCGGCTTTGATCGTTGATTTGACTTTGCCGCCTTTTGAAGAGCTTTGCTCTCCGTGTGGGCGACTTAATCATCGACTTTGAATTTGATGTCTTCTTTGGATGATCCGAAGCTTTGATCTTTGAAGAGGTGGATTTGGAGCTCCATAACACTTTTGGCTGCGTATCCCTTTGACTTTTGGATTGAAGAGGGCCAAGTTTGCGCCTTTGATGAAGAACGCGATGAACATCTTGAAGCTTTAGAAGCGACTTTTGGAGGCTCTTCCTTGGCTTTGATGGATTCCTTAATGACTTTGGGAGCTTTGATCCTTAAAGAGGTTGATTTGGTGCTCCATAACACTTTTGGCGGCGTATCCCTTTTACTTTTGGATCGAAGAGGGCCTAGTTGATGCCTTGTTGAAGAACGCGATGAACATCTTGAAGCTTTGACGAATTCCTCAACGGCTTTGAGAGCTTTGATCCTTACTCCGGCTTGGATATACGACGAAGAACGTTAACTTCATCGATTCGTCAACCAATATTGGATCATTTGTCCAAAGTAGCGACTTTCGACGAAGAACGCTTCGAAGGACACGAAGAACATGGAGAATAATACAGAGAGAGTCTAGAGACTTACCCCTTTGCTTGAATCATCGATGAAACTTCGATGTGTCAAATGAACTGACAATGGCTCATATTTATAGGGATGGGTGGCTTCAGCTTCCTTTTTTAACGGTGCCACATGGCGCGTTTTGATTGACCAATAGGAAGATTTTATAATCCTTCCTTTTCCATTCGATGCTCTTTTCCATTCTTGACGGATTTGATTGTGCACCTTCTTTTCTCGCCAATCTTTATATCATTACATTTTTTCGGAAGATATTAATTTATATACTTCATTTATTGACAAGATTAATTTATTTTGCTGCCAAATTTATTATGATTCTATTTATGCACGCAATATTTGTACGATATCTTCCATTTTAAACAGATTTTTGTATTAATGGTTGATATTTATTGTACAAAAATTAACATATGTGTATAATTAAATACCATATATTTATTTTATTGGAATTTTATTTTCTTTCAAAATACATGATATTAATTGATTTTAAACATATATTTTTAGTGTCTACGTATATAATTAAAACTATATTAAAATGTAATTTTACTGAAAAATAAAAATTCATTCCTAAGTAATTGTCCATCTTCCACAAACAATTATAAACATGTTCTATCAATAACAATGATGCTCTAAATGCAGCTGACTAAAAAAGAAAAAAAAAAAATGCAGCTGATTGAGAGAGATTTTTATATTTTAATAAAAACAAATTTGTGAAACAAAATTTTAAAATAAAATAAAATATATATGATTGCAATTTTATTATTATTATTATTATTATTATTATTATTATTATTATTATTATTATTATTTCGCATGATTTTATTATTAGCTGTAACGCTTTTACGTCATTTCTACTTTGCGGTTTATATATTTCCATAGCTAAAAGCGCGTTTTGTAATTTAAAATCGGCATACTTTCTTTTAATATGCACTTAGTTGCCTATTCCCTAATAATCTATGCATTTTATTTTATTTTAAAAGTGTTAAAAAAGAACAAACAATTATGTTCATCATTATCATATTTTTTTTTTAGATTAATTATTTGCATTACATGCTGTTATCTGATCATATATATATTCAAATTATATAATGAATTATTGAACCTAGTTCCTTTAATTTTCCAACTTGGATTAGCCTTTAGTCCTACTTAATTATTTTTTAAATCAATTTTTAAATTATTTGAAGATTGATTTGCACATGGTAGGGCGAATTTCTGTGGATTAAATTAATCTTATTATATTATAATTACTCCTACTTAATTATTTATATTGTAAGTGCTCAATGACATATTATACATACATACATACATATATATATATATATATTCAATTCTGATTATAATATAAGAGGGATTAAAAAATTTGCTTCGTATCTATGTTTAATTATGACTTTTGTATTATATTGTATGTATATATATATATGTGGTTATTGTAATTAATTTAATCATATATGCTTTATTTAGTTATAATTAACTTTGATTGCATTTGTCCATGTAACTTAAAATATGATAAAAACTACAATGATATAGGTAGTTCTAATAAGAAATTTAATTATAGCTCACTATTATTTTATAGTATTATTTTTTCATCAGATTTAATTATTTGTGGTTTCACTCCTAGTAATTTCTAATTAAAAATTAATTAGGAAAAGAATAAATAAATTAGAGTATAATGTTCTTGTAATGAATGAGATGATGTTTAAAAATGGATTTGAGAGTAAGTTTTAGATTTTTTTTCATTAAAAAATAAGAATTGCAATACCATTTTGATGCGACATAAATCAATATTGATATTTTTTTATATATATAATATTAAATAAAAAATAGATATTTAATTTAATGATTTTTGGAATTTGTTTTTTTTTTTTTTTGGATGGGATACTACAAAATCTAAACCCAATCTTAAAAGAAAAATACCCTTCTTTTTGTCATTATAACTACCTATACATTATGGTTACTTTTATCATATCTTACACATTATTCTAATATCTAACATAAAATAAACTTCATTTTTAAAATTGCAAACAATGATCAATAATGATGCAAATGAGATGTCATGATGATGCCATTTTAACTTAATTGGGCTAAAAAAAATAAAATTAATTAATTTTGCTTTATTAGTTAGTCATAAGTTCTAATCAAGATTGATTAATTAGTTAATTTCAACTAATAGTACCATTTATGTTTAGATCATTAGCAAGATTTGCTTCACACATTTGCATTATTGTTTGTTCAATAATATATATATATATATATTAATAATTATGTTAAGGTGCTAATTAGAAATTAATCAATATATGAATATTAGTAACTGAAATTAAATCATCATCTAATGTGTGAATTATTACTATGCTATATTTGTTATATATTAAAATGTTTTAGGATTTTTATTGGGCCTATAACTGGATTTCTATGTTTAGCCCACAGATAAATCTAAAAAAAAGTAGGCCTTCGGACGCCCATTGAAGAAACTGGTCAGTCGATCGGTCACTTGATTGGTCGGTTGGTCAATAGCGTGGTTGGGTGGTTGATCAGTTGCTTGATTAGCCGGTTGGTCAGTTGCCTGGTCTAGCTGGCTGGTCGGTTGGTAGCACGAAACATAAGCCGAAGACAGTTCTTCAGGCAGTTGCAACCACGGGGGGTTTTCCGTCAGTTACAACCGACTGCGCACACGATCCGATAACTGATTTAGAGAACATATAACAAGCAATTCGCATCCAGCAGAAGACATCTTCAATCAGCATCAATTTCGGTGAAATCCGCTTTGGGGATCATCTTTTATTTTCATTTCAGTATCAGTTTGTTTTTTTTTTTTTTTTACATTTTGTACGATATTTAGGAATCTTCGATTCCAGATATTATTGCAGTCAAATTCGAATTTATTTCGAATTTTACTTTTTATTGTTGGTTAAAAACGGCATCAACAATATTATCCATTTGTTAGTTTATATATATCATAGATTTATGTTATGTTAATGTGTACTTTGTGCTGAGATCAATCGTAATTTTTACCGTCGGTTGATACTGTGGGTTGATTATAATTAATTAGCACTATAACTTATACGACAATAATGATTTAA